GGACGGGGGGGGGGGTTAAAAGGGAGGGAACCCCGGTCGCTTGACCCGCCGCCAACGGCATAAACCGACATTCCGAGAAACATTCCGGCCTTGGCGAGCATGGTGAGCGCGTGCGCGTCAGGGGGAGGGAAGTACAGTCTCCCCCCCCTTGGGGGGGGTCTCCTTGGGAAGGGGGCGGGGGGGGGGGGGGGGGGGGGGGGGGGGGGGGGGGGAGCCAGAGGAGGGGGAAGAAGCTCGGTGTCCCCGGTTCTGGCCGCCCCAGCCTCGATAAGGGCGTGAAACCCGACGGGGTGTCATGGTGGCGGCCCGTGGTGGTCGATAGAACTGCATCGTGGTTGCCTGCGAGTTGGGGGGTAGGGGGGTCCCGAGGGGGCGATTGTATCTGTAGAGATGACTTCTTCCCCTCGCCTCCGCCACTCGCATTGAGGCCCCGCTTCGCCTCCAGATGAAAACCCCTGGATTTGCATTAGAGTCCAGTGCAGTGTTCCCTCTAAGCTGAGTTAGTGTGAGCTAGCTCACAGTTTTTTAGCCTCCAGCTCACACATTTTTGTCTTTGCTCAGGAAGGATGGCTCCAGAGCAAACTAATTTATGCAGAAGCCAAATCGCTCGCTCACAACTTTAATGCCAGTGGCTCACAAAGTAGAATTTTTGCTCACAAGACTCCACAGCTTAGAGGGAACGTTGGTCCAGTGGCACCTTTAAGACCAACAAAGTTGTATTCATTTTATTCAATATATTTGTATTGTTTTGCTCCCCCCCTCCTCTTCCCTTCCGCCGTCCCATTCTTCCACTGGACTTTCTCATCCCTTTATCACACCTGGATTCTTCTCATCGTTGATACAATTAGACTCAGGTCTTAACTGTTTGATTGGCTCAAGCGTTGCAAAGCTCAAAGCAGGTAGTGTTGCGGACATTGTTCTGGAAACTATGTTTTGGTGGTGGCAGGAGGCAGAAATTTTGGCCTGTGACTGACTGGCTAGTTTCCGAGTGGTTGCCACTGTGTTTCACAACACCAGGCATTATACAGTAAGAAACCCCGGTTTGCTAGCCTGTGTTCATTTGACAGGAGCTGCCGCCAGTTGGTGATTTGTGTTGAGTGTGATCACACATTTTTATTTATTTATTGCTTTCGATTTATATCCCGCCTTGCCAAGGCAAACTGGCTCTAGGCGGCGTACAACAAGTTAAAATACGATAAAACAATAAAATACAATAAAATTCACATAAATGACAATTTCCATAAAGTGCTAGTAAATACGGATGGTGGTTTCTATAAAATGGTCCAGTGAACCATGCATTGTACCTTTTAGGTGTATACTTAAAGCATCTTTGGTGTGCACCTAAAAGCACAGTGTGAAATGGGCTTAAAGTTCAAACTTCCATTATTTCTCTGTATGATGTGCCCAACATGCCTACCTGTGGGTATATCTGCATGCCAGAGGTCATGTATATTTGTCATGTGTATTTGGATGCTGGATGTAACCTGGGCTGCTGATAGATGCAGCCACATCTTCCTGATGGTGATTTCTGTGATCATGGCAGCTGAGGCTTCAACAGAGCAATCGCTTGAATTGCTTACAAGTAGCTGTGGCTCTGTCTGTTGAGTTTGCACAGATCACGTGCTGACTGTTCTGTGGGGATTGTCAGGGCATGGTCACATGGAGAAGATATTTGGACTCTTTGGCATAGGAACAGTTATCTGTAGACATTGCATGCATGTTGCACGTGTAAAATGAAGTTGGAGAGAATGTTATAAGCCACTTGAGGTCCACACAGGGGAGAGAAGTAGGGTACAAAAAGTAAGTAAATACCATCATGAGTGACCCATTTGATTTTTCCACATGAAAATGTTGTAGGAAGATGTCGTGTATACATGGCATCAAAGACCTATCTAAAAGCAGTCAGACTTGAAATAATAGTAAAAACACACCTGTATGGCCAGTAAATTGTTTGGGAGCGCCTGATGCCGCAGCAGTTTAAGCTTGGAAAGCATGGCCTTGGTAGAAACTGGATAGAAATCAATTTAGAAGTTGTATGTAACAGTAAAATAAATATTTTAAAAATAGTCGTGGATATGTAATGATCTGTTCCCTGTATACAAGTAATGTCTGTACAGAAAATTTTGTCCTCATGTACAGTGAATGTTATGACTGTTCTGCCGGAGTTTATTAACTTTTACATTTTGCTTAAAAGCATGAAAAAGATAGCTCTTTCTTTATGATTTCTGTTTTGAAAACAAAGAAGTATTGTGTCTGGTTTGCTGCCTGCCTAATGGTGCAATCCTAAACAGAGTTTCACCATTTTGATCCTGTTGATTTCAGTAGACTTGGAAGGATGGAATTCTGTTTAGGATAGCATTGTGAAACACATTGGCTTCGGTGGGATATAATCGGATAACTGAGTATAGGGTTGAAGCATAGACAGGTTCAACGAGGGAAAATGCAAAGTAATCCACATTGGAGCAAAAAATCCCAACTATAAATACATGTTGATGGGGGTCTGAACTGGCAGTAACTGACCAGGAGAGAGATCTTGGAGTCATGATAGATGATAGATAACTTACTGAAAATGTCGACTGCAATAAAAAAGGCAAATACTACACTGGGGATTATTAGGAAGGGAATTGAAAACGAATCAGCCAGTATCATAATGATCCTTTATAAATCTGTGGTGCAATCTTATTTGGAATACTGTGTACAATTCTGGTCACCGAACCTCGAAAAAAATATAGCATTGGAAGAGGTTTAAAAAAGGGCAACTAAATTGAGTAAGGGGATGGAACACTTTCCCTATGAAGAAAGGTTAAAGAGGTTAGGGCTCTTTAGCTTGGAGAAACGACGACTGAGGGATGACATGATAGAGGTTTAGGAAATTATGCGTGGGATAGAGAAGGTAGAGAAAGAAGTACTTTTCTCGCTTTCTCACAATGTAAGAACTTGTGGACACTCAATGAAATTGATGAGCACTAGGTTTAGAGCAGATAAAATGAATTACTTCATCACCCAAAGAATCATTAACATGTGGAATTAACTGCTGCAGGAAGTGGTGGCAGATACAAGCATAGACAGCTTCAAGAGGGGATTGGGTAAACATATGGAGCAGAGGTCCATCAGTGGCTGTTACCCAGAAGGTATAGATAGAGTACTATGTCTGGGGCAGTGATGCTCTGTATTCTTGGTGCTTGGAGGGGCCACAGTGGGAGGGCTTCTGGAGTTCTGGCCCTACTGGTGGACCTCCTGATGACACCTGGGTTTTGCCCGCTGTGTGACACAGAGTGTTGGATTGGATGGGCCATTGGCTTGATCCAACATGGCTTCTCTTATGTTCTTATAGCCGTCTATATTTGAAATTGTTCCTGCACACACACAATGTTATTAAAGAAGGTATGGATTATTGTGGTTTTTACTTGAAGTCTTGCAAATGTATGAGTAGGATCTCTAAATGCCATTCAAAAAGATGGTTTGTGAATTACTGATCTTCCGTGAGCTCAGTGAGTTGCAACAGAACTAGCTGCTAGCTGTAGCTCTTAAACATTCTTTAAACAACTGTTGCAGTTAAAGAAAATTCACATAAAATCGTAATCATTCAGCGGACACACCTGCACTGTTTAGCATGGGGAAAGTTAACAGATTACTTCTAGTAATGGTGCTGTTGGAAATCTTATATATTCATAAACAAATGGTAGGGTATGAGTCGCCCGAACACAATTTTAGAGAGTTTTACAAAGTATATCATCTCGTTCAGTCAGGAAGTATGCTGAAAAATGGCACAGCACAAGCTCTGCCGGGGTTTATTTTGTGAGCTGCATTAGGAGTTTTCCTAATGGGATGAAGCAGTGATGGCTGGGAGATTTTATGAATGTGAGTGTTTGTGGAGATCATATTTCTATGTGTTCTATGTGTCCATCGCTGCGTGTTGCTGCTGTCAAATGCCCTTCCTGTACATTCTGTGCTGTTTTTGCTGTGTGTTGTAGGCTTAAAAAACGGTACTAATAAGACTAATAAGAGGAGATGGAAGCATGCCAAGATTGCTTTGGTTTTGGTGTGTGTACATATAAACAGGTGAATAGTTTGTGTCGCAGCTCCGGGAAGAGTACAAATGTACAAAACTGAGCCAGAGAACAGAGGTGGTAGATAAATCAAGCCTGTCCTTTCAGAAAGTCTGCCGTCCCGTCCTGTGTATGATGGGAAAAAATGCCACATTTCCTCTTCCTAGAGGAACAATTTGGTCATTAGACATCATTCTGTCTAATGCAGCTTTGGACTTTGTTGTGGCTAGCTCCCCTGAAAACAGGAGAGGGACGGAAAGATCAGGACACTTGTCACTGAGCGAGAGCTGGAACTGGGAGAACTAGGTTAATTTCTCACTTGTACATTTTGTTTAAGCTACTTTGCCTTCGAGTACTTGGAAGGTGGGGAGTCAATGTTAAAGATAAAGAAGATAAAGATTTCTACTGAGCAAATAACGTTATCTGCATGATCTGTATCTCTTAGTTTTGAAATAGGCTAAAAGAATTTATGTGGATCATTCAGGATGATGTTTTTAATAAAGGGACAATGTTTATTTACATTTTATATGCCTCGCCTTTCTCCCCAGTGGAGACCCAAAGCAGCTTCTGTTGTTCTCCTCTCCTCCGTTTTATTCTCACAACCATCCCGTGAGGTGGGCTAGGCCGAGTGTATGTGTCTGGTCCAAGGTCAGCTGCCAAGCTTCCATGGCAGAGTGGGCCTCCCAGATTCTAGCCTGGCTCTCTAACCAGTATGCAGCACTGGCTCAAGAGCAAGGCAGGTATTGTGAGATAGCCCTGCAAGTATTCTGGAATGTTGTGTAACTACTCAGCTATTTCACCTACCGGTGGCTGAGTCGATCCTTCAGAGGGCCTTACTTCTAAAGAACTCTATGGCTTTTTCCAGAGAAAGGAAAAGAAAAAAAGATTGTTGGCTGGGTAATTCCGAGTCCAGAGGCCACACCCCTTTTGTCTTATAAAACCCACTCTGGTTGCTTTCTTTTGCTGCCCTTAAAATGGCAGCTGTCCTCGGGAACAGAGATTGTGAGCAGGTATGAAAAGAATTAGATTATTGTTTTCCAAAAATAAGTGTTTAGAAAAAAAGAAAAGTAGTATCTTTACCAAGTTTGAGTTAGGCTTTTTTCTTTCCAGGTTCTGTAACATTACTGCTTGAAATCATTCAAACATTGTTACGGGTAGAGCTGGAAGAATCCTGGTGCTCGGTAGCGCAAGTCCTGAAAATATTTGATGTGGAAACTGTTTTTGAGCGTTAGTTATTGGGTGCTGACCTGCTACGTGTTTTGTTCTGTGGATTAAGAACTGGAAATGCTTTTCCAGGCCTGGCTACTTTAACATGAGTATGAGTACTGTTTGTTTGTATTGTATAACTTCTTGTCTCTTGCTGATCACCATGATGTTTTGTAATTATCTGACTTATGCTCAGTAGAAGTCCATGTCAATGGAAAAGACCATTTGTAAGTATATGTCTCCAGCTGTTGACATTAAACAGCTTGAAACCTTTTTTTTTGGGGGGGGGGTGGTAATCAATCCTTATAGCTTTATCTTTAAGTACTGCTTGGTCTGCAGTGATTCAGAGTCAGTATTTATTGTCAGGCCGCAAAAAGTTTGACCTGCTAATTCTTACTTATGGAGGGATAGTAATAGAGGCCAACTGAAAGCTTGCAGCCTCAGATCAAAGATCTTTGGAGTTCTGTAGTGTTTCTAACTCTAGATTAGGAATTTCAGCATTTAGTTGGCATTTACTTAGTTTTGCTGATGAAAGCCGAAACTAACTTGAGAGCATTTTAGTTTCAGCTTCAGAAACCCTTTTCATGCTTGGCTGCTTCATTTTTGTCTATGAAATGCTTCAGGGCCTTCCTCTTTCTGTTGATACTTTCCCCTAACTGTGGTTGATAGAAGGTGTTTCTGGTTGCCTTTTCGACTGATTAGTTAAGTTTTTTAAAAGATTTTTTTTGGGGGGGAATCCCAGATCTGATCAGTTTAATTTGTAATCACCAATAAATTTGCTTCTGCTTTTTTTTTTTTTTTTTGGTGGGGGGCTCTTGATAAAAGTACGGTTCACCCATCCTGCCGCCAAAATGGTTTGCATTTAGAACCTCAAAAGTCTTTCTCTAATCACTTCAGTTAGCATTCGTGGTTTAATACCAGCCTGGCTTTGAAAAGATAGGACAAGGATAGAGGCTTGAATTCTTTGTTTGTGAAGCTGGTGCAGATTAGGGCTAGTATTCTGTGCACATTTAGGAGATCTTTTGAACTCTTGAGTAAACGTGCCTTGAATCAGGTTGTATTACTAGCATTCAGAGGTTTACTGCCTCTGAATGCGAAGGTCCCTCTTCTCTGGTCTCTTGGACAAGCTGGAGAAAACCTTGTCAATTGCACAATTGCTAGGAGAACTTTTCCTGACCACCTCTTTGTTACCATTCCAGCTGCTGCTCTAAGGAGAGGAAGGAGACTTTCATATCATGCACCTCTGGCGTTGGGGTGCTTTAGCAAGAAAGTGGAAGAGCATACTTGATTTTGTTGGATTGCATAGAGTCATATTTAAGAACATAAGAAGAGCCCTGCTGGTTCAGATCCATAGTCCATCTAGTCCAGCATCCTCTCTCACACAGTGGCCAACCAGTTCGTCTGGAGGGCCAACAGCAGGGCATAGAGCCTGAGGCCTTCCCCTGATGTTGCCTGGCTCTTGGATCCAGAGGTTTAGTTCCTCTCAGCCACCATGGCTAGTAGTCATTGATAGACTTATCCTCCATTAATCTATCTAATCCCCTTTTAAAGCTGTTTATTCCTGTGGCCATCACTACATCCTCTGGCAGTGAATGCCACGTTTTAATCACTCTCTGTGTAAAGAAGTATTTCCTTGTGTCTATCCTGAACCTACTGCCCATCAGCTTCATTGGACACCCTCGAGTTCTGGTATTTTGGGAGAGGGAGAAAAAAATATATGTCTCCACCCCATGCATAATTTTATAAAATTCTATCATGTTTCCCCTTAGTCATCTCTTTTCTAAACTTCAAAGTCCCAGACTCTTCAGCCTTTCCTCATATAGGGAAGGTGCTCCAACCCCCTAATCATCTTGGTTGCCCTCCTCTGTTCTTTTCCCAGCTCTGCAGTGTCCTTTTTGAGATGCAGTGACCAGAACTGTACACAGTATTCCAAATGAGTCCGCACCATAGATCTATAACAGGGGCATTACAATATCAGCCGTTTTATTCTCAATTCCTTTCCTAATAATCCTTACCATAGAGTTAGCCTTTTTCACTGTTGCAGCACACTGGGCTGACTTTTTCATTGAGCTATCCACTATCACCCCAAGATCTTTTTTTTTCCCCTTTCAGTCTCAGCAAGATCAGACCTCATTAGCCTATCCAAGTAATAGGTTTAGAATTGGGGAATATAGAAACATAGAATTGGAAGGGGGCCGTACAGGCCTCCTAGTCCAACCCCCTGCTCAATGTAGGATCAGCCTAAAGCAGTGGTGGCGAACCTATGGCAGGGGTGCCAGAGGTGGCACTCAGAGCCCTCTCTGTGGGCACGCGTGCCATCGCCCCAGCCAGGCCCAGACCATAATTAAAGTGTCGAATTCTCTGCCAAATAATTTTAAGTAAATGAAAGCATTTGGGATTGCTTTCCTTACTTTGTTTGGATCAACTTAAGTTAATGTATGAGTTGTTTTTTCTAAAGTAAAACCTCAGTATTCAGGTTAAATGGCCATGTTGGCACTTTGTGATAGATAAGTGGGTTTTGGGTCGCAGTTTGGGCACTCGGTCTCTAAAAGGTTCACATCACTGGCCTAAAGAGAACACTTGAGAAGTGTTCATCCAGCTGCTGCTTGAAAAGTACCAGTGAGGGGGAGCTCGCCATTTCCACTGCTGGATAGTACTCCTACTGTAAAAATTTTCCCCCTCATATCCAGCTGGTACTTTTCCGTCAGTAATTTAAGCACATTATTGTGGGTCCAAGAGGAACAGCTCTCTGCCCTCCTCTAAGTGACAGCCTTTCAGATACTTCAAGAGAACAATCATGTCCCCCCTCAAATGCGTCTTCACCAGATGGAACATTCCCAAGACCCTCAGCCTTTCCTTGTAGGTCTCCAGGCCCCTGATCATTTTCATCGTCCTCCTCTGCATTCGCTCCATTCTGTCCACATCCTTTTTGAAGTGAGGCCTCCAGAACTGCACATGTGTTCTGGTGATTTCTCTGATATGTACTTCTGTGCAATATGCTTAGAGTTGGAAAGATTCTTGGTTATGAATTTCCTAAGGCTTCATACCATGATATTGCAGTAAGTGCATTCAGGATTTCAGCCTAGTGTACAAATATACTGATCACCTGTGATACTGTGTTCTTTTTGTTGTTGTTGTTTAATTCAGAAAGCAGCCTTTAAAATTATGAAGTCCAAAGACCAATGAATCATTTACATTTTGAAAGACTTAGAGTGTATCCAATGTAGGTATATACTTTTAAAAATAATCATAATTAGTATTAGGTTTTTGCTTTTATAATCCTAGAGAGAGCTATCTAAGCTGTATCCTAAAATGCGTAATCACCGATCAGTGAATTCTGGGTTGCTTTTAAAACTCTTTTCATTTTCCTCAGGATATTCGGAAGTTCTTTGGAGTTCTGAATGTCGGAAAGAAACATGAAAATGAGACTGCCCAAAAGCCTGAGAAACTCAAAGATAAGGAAGGCGAAAAGTTGAAATCGAAGGAAGTCAAGGTGGGCTTAACCTCTCTGTTGACATATTTAAATCTGTTTTGCTAATGCATGTATTTGTAATTTCTCAGTGGCTTTAAGAGTTGCCTTACTGGTTTAAAAAAAGAGAAGGATTCAAAGAATGGCTGAACTAATTCTGTGTACTCATTTGGACTCTGGAGTTGTATTATATATCCTGCCTGAAGCATAGATGGAAACTGTGTATGAGCTACAATTACCACAGAATTATGCTGAATCATATACTGTAACATTTATGTGAAAATATTACAATAAGAATAACAATAAATTCATTGGAAATATAACTCCGGCTACAAACATTGTCTACTTATATAATGCACATTGTATCTACTATCATACAAAACAATGGGCATTCACAAAGGATACTATCGCCTTGCTGTGATGCTTCTACAATCAAAATTCCACAAACATTCAGGAAGCAGAACAAAATTGATAATAAGTCCTCTCATAGAACAGGTCTCAACCATGCGGTTCTTTTTTCATAAAGAAGCAGGTTCCTCCAATGCTTGTAGTTCTTCACAAAAAGGTAGGTTTCACCAGTGCTTCACGCATTTGCTAGCTATAAACTTTCTGCGTATTGCTGATGCTTCATCAGAAGAAGAACCTATAAGTCATTGTATAAATTCTTGCAAAGCCTCATGACGTTTCTACAGCCCTTCAACAAAGTCAAATAAACTTCTGGTTGAACAGCCAGCTAGCAGACACGTGAAGCACTGGTGGAACCTGCTTTTTTGTGAAGAACTACAAGCATTGGTGGAGCCTGCTTCTTTATGAAAAAAGAAGAACCACGTGGTTGAGACCTGTTCTGTGAGAGGACTTATTACCAGTTTTGTTCTGCTTCCTGAACGTTTGTGGAATTTTGATTGTAGAAGCATCACAGCAGGCGTACCCTTTGTGAACACCCGTATAGTAGTTACAGTGTGTATTATATAGGTAGACAATATTTGTAGCCAGAGTTATATTTCCACTGAATTTATTGTTATTCTTATTGCAATATTTTCACATAAACGTTACAGTATATGACTCAGCATAATTTTGTGGTAATTGTAGTTCATACACAGTTTTTGTTGGTTGGTGGATTCTTTACTGTGCATCTCCTGGTTGTTTCTAAAGCATAGATGGAGGCAGCCAGTTTTTGTCCTCCCCTCGATTTGTCTTTCCCTTTTCTCAATCCAACCGAAGGAGCAAACTGACATACGTGAGGTTGTCTTTTACTAAATCAGACTAATGCTCCACCTTGCTCAGCATTGTGTGCTTAGATCAGTAGTAAAGCTTGGGCAAGGACTCCTCCCTAATACACATGGAGATGCTGCTATTGAACCTAGTTGCTTTTTCACCTAGTTGCTCTACCACTGAGCTACGAGTCGCAAACTACTAACAGATTCCTTGGAGTGCTTGGCTCCCTTGCTAGGAAGGGAGATACATAAGGTTTACCTGCATAGAAGCCTTTTGTTGATTGCTGTGAGTGTAAATAGCTGCAAGGCTGCTAAAAAGGCTGCATGTACTTAACCGTATTCAGTTAGGAGATTTTTAAGCCACTTTGAAGGCAGCTCATGGAGGTTTTTTGCAAAGTATAATAAAACCCTCCATAAAATAGTGGTATAAACAACATTATGCAGCCTCTTTAGGGTTGGCTGAGAACCTGGATCTAATTCTAACCACAGATTATTTTGGGTTGAGCTATTAAAATGGGAAGCTAGCCAGTTCTTACTTGTACGCTGTGTGAAGTCTGCTTCTGGTGCAGATACGTCTTGTCCCATCTGGTGGATAGTGGCCCAGTCATGAAACATGGATAGTTTAGACTATTTTGTATACAGTGTTTAGTCTACAGGGGTTATACACAGTGTTCAAATCAGCTAAAGATCATGATTAGGTTTTAGAAAAGCCTCTTTGAGGAAGGGCCACCAAGATGCCAAGGGTCAGATTATAACAATGGAGAAATGCTCATCTACAGGTGAAAAGTGGGTCCCTTTCATAATTGTCTTCTGCAATTTGGGATCCCATAGTTATCACTGAGTACATTTTAAGAAGTAACTGTCATGTAACTTCATTGAGGATGTTGATAATATGTGACAATGTGATAAAAGTTGATCCCATAAGAGAATTCTATTTGACTGAGCATTATGTAGATATGGTCGGATATTAGAGGGATTTCTAATGAATAACCAGTGAACTGTTGCAACTAGGTGAAGAATTCATCTCCCGAAGAGGATTCCAAACAAAGGCAGGTTACCAAAAAGAAGAGGATAATCTATGATTCAGGTAACATTTATGATTGCTTTGTCTGTGGCTATTTAGTATCTTTGAGATAATTTACTTTCTAGATTTTAGTTTAATTTTGATCCTGTAGAATAGGCTTAATTCTGGTGGATTTCTTTGAAATGAAATAATTCTTACCTCTAGATTATGCAAAATGAGTATATTGAATATACCTGATAGCATGGGTTTTGTTAGCATAGGCTGGTACTTCTGCTGTTCTTATCTGCAGATATGACGCTGCCTTATCACAAGTCAGACTGGTTTCTTAACCCAGCCCTAGTCTATCTCTTCTGGCTGGAAATAACTGACTTAAGTCTTGGCCAGAGGCTTGCTTTAGCCCAGTCATCCTTTCAGCCTGAGATGGTAAGGTCTGAACCTGGGATTTACTTTATACAAAAGGAGGCAGATTACTATATGAGCTACAGGCCCATCCGGTATTCTTATTTCTCGACTATCAAAACTATTAAGATTGGAAAGCTCAAAGTGAAGCTTTATTTTCCATAGACCAATATATGTGAAAACTTTTTGAGGGAGAATTTTAAATAGAAGCTGTGGGTATCCCATCCAGCAAAATGATGTATGGATGCAGAGATTCTTACGCAGAGTTTTGGTGACACTGCTGGCACTTTCTAAAAGCACCGGAGCTCACCCCAAAACAGCTTGGTAAATATTTGTAACTACTTTCTTGTGAAAGGTGCATCTTCATAAGTGGTCAGTTTGAATTTTACTTTTCATCATTTGCCTGTCATGTTCTGTGAACATAGAAACTCATGAAAGCAGCATTCAAATTACGAGCAAGAATAGAAATGGAAAGAATGGTCACGTCTGCCCAGCTCTTCTCTTGGTCTTAAACCATTCACATGAAGAATATGTGGGTGGCATTTTGCCTTTGATTATGGCCCTTGCTGTGTATTAAAATGTTTGTGTTCTGCTCTTTCGTCAGCGTTGGTCTATAAGTCATAAAACTCCGTCAGTTGCTTCCTTCAAGGTGACAGACTACTCCCAATTTTAATGAGGCATTTACTATGACTGAAGTGTCCAATCCCTTCATCCAGATGTTAGTGGATAGTATGATGTGCTAGTTAGTAGGGATGTGGGCAAGGGCTGAGTATATGGGTGGTAGGCAGCATCTCTTCACACACTCTGTCAGGATCCTCACTTTGGAATGGCTGTTGCTGAGTCAAGCACTTATGCTATGTAGGAGCTAAAAGAACATCTTGTATCCAGCCTGCTAGTTAAAGTGGGCACTAGCAGTTTTCATCTGAAGTGCTGAGCAAATAAATAGCAGTGGGCTATGAGGAATGTCAAATTAACCACCCCTGCAGGGATCCCAGAAGTATAGAGACCACATGCTTTGCTTTTTTGGGTGGAGCAACATATGTGAGTTTTCTGTTTAACAAAACTGTCTTTTACAGGTTCAGTTTAGCCTCCTAGCATGACATGGCTCATAGCTCTTAGCATGAATTAGGAGGAAGCCTTATTCAGGGTCATTTTTCTTCAAGTTTGTATTGATGTTAAATAATTATGCTGTTATGTTTTAAATGCAGATTCTGAAGAGGAGATGCAGTTGATGAAAAAATCAAAGAAGCATCCAGTTAGAAAACAGTCTGATAAGGTTCTAAAAAAGGACCTGATAGTTTATGTTTCTGAAACAGGTAATAGGTACTCCATACTAACTGCTTATATGTGGGTATTTTGCTATACTAGAGAAAGTTTTAGTACTTGCTTACCTTTAAGGTAGTACTATACAATGATTTTTTTTTAAGGAGTTTGGGTTATGGAATACAAAACTGGGTCTGGAAGCTATGGCTTATATCTGCTTCTGAGTATCAGATTGGCAGAACTATGGTACACAAAGATATTGTATACTGTAGTATATAAATAGTGTATAAAAGTAACAGCTGCTATTACTGATGTAACAGTCACCTTTAAATATACTACTGAACCTTGTAGTATGAATACTTTGCTTTGGAAATTTATTTTAGGGATGGGCACAAACCTGGACGATGCAATTTGGCTGAATGAACCGCGAACTGAACTGGGAGCCTCGTTGAACTGAACTGGTTTGTGTGGTTCATGGCACTGCAATTTAAACCAAACCGAGCCATTTAAACCAAACAGCTGAACAGCGGGGAGCTCCCAGCTGTTTCTCCTGAAAACCCTGCTTTGTGCTCTTCACCAGTCTTTCGATAGGGTTTTTAATCCAGTCAGAGATCCAAACCAAGCCAGCTGCTTGATAATATGACTTGATATTTAGGAACTGCTAGGCCACCTCTTTTTCCCTCCCCATCTTGTAAAACTTTAAATCTAACCCTTGGTTTCTTGCCATTCCATATAAATATATTTATCTGTCTTTCCCATCTTTCAACATCTTGTCATGTATTTCAATTGGGAGCATCTGGAATAAAAATTAATTTTTGGGAGAATGTTAATTTTTATTGCAGAAATGTTTCCAAGCCAGGAAAAATTTAATTGAGTCTATCTTTCCAAATCCTTTTGAATTTTCTTCCGAACTGCCTTTTAATTATCTTCACAAACTGTCACAAGCCACCACAAATTGCACCAAAATTCGTGGTAGTTTGTCCTGGTTCTTCAGTTCACGAACATCCATTCACAAACCTCAAACAGGCCAAAATTCCTGACAAACTTTAGTTCATCAGCTGGTTCGTGCCCATCCCTAACATTTTTCTCTCATGCCCTGCTTTTAAAAATAAAATGGATTTTTTTCTTGCACTTTTGATTTGTTTTTATGTACATGAGAACTGTGGGCTGGTGGTACAGCGTCTGGTATAATAGCTGTTCTGGTTTAATTATATGTAGGTGTGAGGCATGTGTGCCTTGGGAATGATCACTAAAAGGCCACTGGTATTAAAACATAAGATTATTGTGTAGGAAATAGGTTAGCAAGGTGAAGAATCCCACTCGATCAGATAAGACTGGTTTCTATTTTGAAACTGTGCAGAAAACTCTAGCAGAATATGTCACTGGACTGAAAGAGAAAATATCTGAGTAAACAAGTTGATAGAGTTCTTTGGTGGTTAAAGTACAAAGATAAGATCAGATTTAGATGTGAATGTTTTTCCCCTCACACGTACAGTGTATTGCTAAGTTCAATGGTGTTTTTTTGACTAGTGCAGGTTACAGTGCAGCCATGATGTCTTATATTATATTGTGTGTGCATAGTTATTGGTCCACAGTTGTTTTTTGGGTTTTTTTTTGCTAACGTGCCTATTCATGATTTGCCTGCCTTAGTCATTTGTGCATTAAAAGGTGGGTGGTGGCAGTGAATAGTTTGCTTGCCTGATTACCTAAAGGCAATTCTCATTTGTCACACACAGTCAGGTGAGTGGCTGTTTTACAAGCCTGTTATAACAAATTTTAAAACAACCCTGGTATGGTCTTATAGTGTTGTGTTACTTTCCCAGGTGTAATAGTCTATTAGCTTAATAGGTGTTTTACTTTAACTGCTGGATTTTAAAATTCCCCTGTATGAGAGGTAACAAGATACAAGCCCACAAGGAATTGCGGAGGATGGTGGGAAATAACTTGAAAATATTCTCCCCCCCCCGAAATAAGCTTCCCCTTCATATTTCTGTATGCTCTCAGTGCATATTTCTGTATGCTCTCAGTGACTAGTCTCACCCCTAGCTCTTTTCCCCCTTCCACTGACTCTCAACAGTCTGTGCTTCTTGGACATTTTTGATGGGGCGAGGTGTCTTTTGATCAATTCAGAAAACCTTGGGGGGGCAGTACTTGGATTTCCCTATAGAGATAGTCCAACTTTATCTGTGGGTGGTCTGGTTTGGTGCTTTTGTTATCCTCACTCCCCTGGCAGTCCCTGACTCCACACTGTATGGGGCCAGTAGCCAAGTGGTCTTATATAATGTATATAATGGCTATACTTTTAACAGTATATAATGGCTACATTTTCAACAGTAGCTTGGAACTGAAGGCACACAAGCCTCTGTTTATTGCCTGACTGGAGGCGTTTGTGTCCACCCCTCAGTTCCTCTTTTCTTTCCTCTCCCCCCCTCCTTCTCTGTGCCCTTGCCTGGCTGATTGTTTGCCCTACCTGCTAGTTTGTCCTCTCCCCATTGTCAACTGTTCCACTCCCCACAATTTATGTTCTCTTGGCATTATTGCTTTCCTCCTCTACTTATTACTATTCTGTAGTAATGCAGAATGCTACCTGAAGTATGTGGTCCCCCCCCCAGCAAGAACTGTGCATGCACAGATGTTGCTGTTCTGAGGATGTTAACCCACCCACTGAAAAAAAAACTTTTTGCATTTTTGTGCAAACCTAGGTATTCCCCTTGGCTTGCCATGGCCCCACAGTGAATTTTTTGGTATGCCCTCTGAGGCCAAGATTGGAATTAGATGGTGACGTATCAGAAAAGTGGACTGCAGAAAACAAGGAGGATGGAAACTTACAAACACAGACAGCCATCTGCTTCCATTCCTGTTGATGCCTGGGTTGAAGGGTTTTGATTCTCTAATATTCATCATATCCATTACATTCTCTGTAGTTTTTTTGTGAGCTAGTACACTTGGGGCTGTGCCTGAAGGGAGGGTAACAAGTGTTGTTCTTTATTACATAACTTTAGGTGGTGCAGTTGGTTTTCTCAGTGTTCACATGCCAGAAGACATTGGTCAAGGTTGAGCGTAAAGAACCTCAATTACAGATCAAGGTTATTCTTATCTAGCAACTGTAAGCACACAACAGGGCAAGGTTGACGGAAAGCAGTGATTACAGCTGATTGTGAATGCAAGGGTTAATGACTTTATCTGATGCCCACACTGATCACCCATGCCTGACTGGTTTGTCTGTGGGTTCTGATCAGTACCTTGGCAGCCAGTTCACACTACTTTTGGCTGTGTACCAACTGAAAGTCAAGGATAGTGTCTAGGTCTAGAAGAGATTAGTAGGGCAGAATTGCTGCCTGTACTGGCTGCTCTGCTCCACGGCCAACCAGGTCTAAATATCGCTTTTAGGAAACAAAACATGAAATGATAAAGCAATAAGGATTCATTTACTGGTTACATATTGCTGTACACATTTCAGTGTTTTCCAAGGCTTAGAAAACCCACAAAGGGATACCTGTGCAATCCGGGTTTGTCTGTTTCTATGGAATGTATGTTTTCCAGTGCTGCTGTTAATTGTCCATGCAACAAGACCCAACATCAGAGCATGTTAACAATTGTTCTTAATAAAAACTGCTAGCAGAGCTTGATCGATCATGAGCTTGTTGACGTCTAAATGATAACATCTATTACTGTGTGTGTGAAACAGTAAAAAAGGTACCAAGATTTACTAGAAGAGCCACAATATTTGCAGTCTAGAAGCCCTTTAAACAGCACAAGGTTCAGTGCAACATTCACCTAATATTCTTGAGGATTTCAACATATTTGCTAATGCTCGGCCAGCTCAGGATTAAATGGCTTCCATTACCAAACTTTGGTTTCTCCCAAATAAATGGATATCCCATGGATTTAATGTTTTACTCTAGAAATAGGTGATCCGTTAGTTTGGCAGTTGTAAGTCGGACCATAGTGATGATGAAAGCACTACTACCTCATGAAACAGAAGATCTGTGTTGAAGTCATGACTTTGAGGAATTTCACATTACCCTTTTTAACCAGTTTTGAAGCCGTTTTTGATCCGTCATGGAGTAAACTGGTATAGGGCTGCCATTTCACACATGGCTTTCCCCTTCCGGTAAAGAGCTAGATCTGAAGCAGTTTGCCATTTCAGACTGCACTGTTTTTTCCCCCCCGTTTTTCGCCCACGCGGGCGATCTCCACCTTTTTTTTTTTAACATTTGCTTTAGAGCGCTATAGCGCTAAAGCACTATAACAAAACACTCCAGGCATTCCAATGGGGTTGATATAATGCTGTTGCGTTATAGCGCTATAGCTATAGTGCTATAAAGCGAAGGTGTTGTTTTTTTTTTAAAAAGGTGGAGATAGCCCGCGCGGGCAAAAAACGGCAGCAAAAAGTGCATTGGAAACTGAAAAGTGCAGAGGAAACTGAAGACTACTTGGAAGTGGTTGACAGGTAAAACGCTTCAGCCCCGTTTCCTAAATGGGACAGAAGCGTTTGTGTCTGAAATTACAAGTATATTCTGGTAGGGAACTGGTTCTAAAACGGTTCTGTCTGAAATGACAGACCAGAAACCGTTTGGGAACCGTTCCTCTTCCAGATTATATCGTCTGTCTGAAATTCCTTAATGTCTTCCTCAGAATTTATGGAGTCAGTTGGTGGATTCTAGAAGTTTCTGTGAAGTATTCTTCTGATTTGGACAGTTGTTACATCGAGGACCGTGTTAACCAAAGGAATTAGTTGTCTCCCACAGCCATTTTTTCAACTAAACTACAGATTGCTCTGGTTTACAGCATGCCTTATTCAGTACGTAAGAAAATGATCAGAACCCAGTGTTGGGTTCATATTGGAGCAGACCGATTGTGGCATTACAGGTAGCAACAGTGGAAAATAAATCCATCTCTTCTGCTGCCATGGTACTGTTCCACATGGTGAAAAGCTCAGTTGGTGTGAGATTGATGGTTTCGCTTGCCATTCGGCTTTCAGGGGAAAATAATTACTTCAATATGGCTTCAGCTGGAGTCAGCCTGTCAGGGTTTTTTTTTATTTCCCTCTTCGATGCTTCACCAGCCTTATGCTTCATAGAGTTGCAGGACACTTTTTAAACCCTGCGTCAATCTCACGAAATATGATTCAGGGTAGAAAAAGTTTACATTTTGAAGCAGTGATAATCTGTCCTAAACTGCTGTAACCCATCTGTGGGCTCAATCCTAAATAGAGATCTTCTGGCCATTTGCTTCTGAAGTGATTTTATTAAGGAGCACAGTATACAAATAGGGGCTAAACTGGCTTAGAGGCTTTAAGGGGACAGTTTTAATGGTTTCTTTCCTGTTTTGCTTATTCCTCTTCATGTTTTTCTCTTTGCAGTCCTCTGGCTGTGTGGGTATCAAATTCTACAGGGTACGGGGCTAGAGTTCATGTGAAAAGTTGCATTGTCTTTTAGCACAGGGAGTGCTGTACAGGTCATTAGGCTTATCATTTTAATCTTTACTGAACATTTTTCATCGTTGCTATGTTTGGTGAAACCAGCTTCCTCTCTGGATTATTGATGGTCAAAAACAGAACACAATGTAGTTCACAAGTAATGTGTAAAGGAAGAGCAGATTTGTAAATACATCCATTGCTAATCAGTCTTGGGCATGTTGGGAGACATCCAAATGCTTGTACCCATTCAGTAACATCCACGCAGTATGGTTCAGTACACTATGGGACCTGGAGAGTTGTTTGCAGAAGACATCTTGTGAATGTTATGTTGAACTTTGTGCAGTCCTATCTAAAGGGCATTATTTTGTGGCTCAGAATCTTACAGAGAACACAACAAATGTGGCTTATGGCCCTTGACAGAGTGAAACAACAAAGGCACTGGCGAGGGGAATGTATTCTTTCTCTTTCTTTTTTTTAGGCCCCCCCCCCCCCGGATTTTTTATTGCATTTTCTATAAACTACAAAGAAACAACAAGGGAGGGGAATCTACAAACTACAGGAGAAAGTAAAGAAAACCACTAAAAACCCAAGAGATGGAGATCGTACATTACTTAAAATACAACAGCATTTTTCTTTTTTAACCATTACGTTTTTCTTTCTTTTTTGGCGTTAAGATTGATCAATAACCATTTATCGCTTATATTATCATTTCCAACAAATCTGAGTATATGAAGACCTATACAAGATCATTAAAAAACCACTAAGGCAGGCTTCAGAAAACTTTAGCATCTCATTTTTGTTAACCTTTTGTTCCCCAAGTGACAATCAAATTTATTTTGGGGGGGGGGACCACCCCCCATCTTAGAGTCCAGTCCTCATCAGTAAGTGTACTTGTTGTCTCATCTTCTCTTCCTCTTTTACAATCTTCTTCCTCATTATCTTCTTCCCTTGTTGATCCAAGTTGTTGCAGCAGATATAGTTCATTCTTCCCTTTTATCACTTTAATCCATATGTCTTCTGGAGACTCTAACCACTCTTTCACCGGGCAGATTATCATTTTTATATTTTCAGGATATGTCCATAGATCACATCCCTTCGTTTTAATCACTTTTAATCTGCAAACTGGTCCCTTAACGACATACAATCCATTTGGAGTTATAGAAGCTGATTCTCGGTTATTGTCTCTATCCTTTTGCAGATGTCTTTCAGTTAGAACAGCTATGCAACATAGTCCTAATTAAATATTGTTGTTAGCCAGCAGGGGGCGCCCATTTTCTGTTGGAAGAGTCTATGTCAGGTCACATGGCTTGGTCAGCTGAATTCCCACTTCCTGAAGAAGGCTTAGATTTCATTCTGCTTTCTTCAGCGCTATCTTTAAGGATGTTTATTCTTTTGTAAAATTGCCAAAGGTTTCTAAAGTCCACAGTATTGCCCAAAAATCCCTCGACAGCTCTTCATTATAGTCCATTTACGCTTAAAGCTCCACCCCCCCCTCACAATGCTTCAAACCCTGTTTGTTTTGGTGTGTGTGTGGGAGTTCTGCCGTTTTTTATAATTCAACGCTTCAACAAACTCACAGTTCCCCGTCATTCTCGCCATTTGAGGGTAATGTTTTCTTCATCCCTTCCACATGTATCCTTGCCATTCATAATGTTAATGTGTGGTAGCTCGCAAACAGTCATGATAACATGCCGGAAAGTTGGTTGCTGGTAACTTTACAAGCCTGATCTGAAAGTCCATGGAAGGGTTGTAAGCCAGCAGCTTGAAGCTTCTGGAGCCCAGAAACCCAGGTTCACTGTGAGAGGAATGAGCTCAATTGATGACTGAGCTAATGTAGCGAGCAACCTTGCTTTGATATGTATCAGTAGGAGACGCCATAGTTTGAGACTGAGGCTCATGCTGGATTTATGGTATTGTACCATGAAGGCAACATAGGGCATTAATGAAATGCCAGAACAGAAGTAGAGATGATAGGTTGGCAGGTGGTGGGCAAAGATACAGATAGCCTTGGGGTTCTATGAGAAGGGGTAGGACTATGAAAAATGGAAGAAATATCTCACTAGGTACCTGGAAGGCTTTCTACCCCCCCCCCCCGCCATCAGCCAAATCCACTAGAGTTGTTGCAAACTACCTTTTAAAGCTTTGTCTCTCCTAACTAAAAACATGGCCACAAAAGGGTGGGGGGTGAAGCACAAAATAAAAGGATTCACAGGTGATTCTGCACTGGATGAGAGCATGCTGATTTTAATAGTTACTACTGGAAAGGAATCTCCATGCTATATGGAAGTAGTCAGAGTGTAAGAACAGGTGAATGCAGTGGGTAAGATGATAGTTGCCATGATTCAAGGTGCCTTCATGTCTCTCTCTTTTCTGCAGTAAAGTAATAAACTGGGATTGATGTCTGGCTAGGTTGTGCAGATCAGTTTTATGCTTTTATTGCAGCCGCAGCTTTTGACATTTTGCTCCAGATAAGAGGGCTATAATTCCATTAATTTAAAACACATATTTATGATGCACCCAGAATTAAATGATCTGTTTTTAAATCTACCTAAGAAAGTTGTGAAGGTTTGCTGTGATAGACCGCCAACAGAAACAAGCTATTTAGGTGTATGTGGCGGGTGTCTGATGTTTTCAGGTTGGCAGTTCCTGCTACCCGAAAGAGGCCTGCTGTGCAGCGTAGAAGGTTGCTTTCTTCTGCTGTGGGAACATCTCTGGTGATAATGTGAAAAATTTCCAGCTCATTGAACTCCACTGTAAAAAGCCGAATGTGCCTCCTTTGTTTCTGTGAACTACACCTGTGCTGTAAAATATTTTACTCAAAGTCTCATGACAGCCGTTCTTATTTAAATGAAAAGGGACAGCATAATTTTAGTTTACCTGAATGGCAACATAACCGTTGATATACCATGGCCCTATTAATTAACACGTCGATGAGCCTTCTCGTGTATTGCTCTTTTTTGTTTTCAAGTATTGCAAGATTTTAAGCCGCTGCACATGAGGAGTGTGTGCCGAGTGCCAGGGTACTGAGGAGTAATCAGATACGTGCTTCCTTTCAGACGAAGACGAAGACTTTGTTCACAAGAAGGTCTCCCAAAAACCCAAGGAGAATGGGACGTCAGCAAGCCTTCACCCAGGAGTAACTGCAGCACCAAAAGCAGACACTAAACCGAAAACAAAAACTAAGCCCTTATCTCCAGAGAAACTGACACCAACCTCGGTAATTGATTACTTTGGAACCGGCAGCATCCAGCGATCAGAGAAAAAACTGGTGTCAAGCAAAAGAAAGGATGTGAGTAGTCCAGGGCTTAATTTTCTTTCCTTCTCGCTGACTTGTGTGTGAACAGGAAAAAAGCTCACAAATGTAATGAAAAATGTAAATTATGATACACGGTAACGTTCGGTTCGGTGTCTTCCTTCAGAGGCTGTGAATGTCATGTTAGAGAGGAAGTGGAAGACAGCAAAACCTATTTTGTGTTCATCCCCTTGTCTGTGTATAGATTTTGAGTGTCTTCTGTAAAAAGTGGCCTTGTTGCGAAAAGATCCTGAATTATTATTATTATTACATTCCATTTGTATACCGCTCACCCCCTGAGGGCTCTGAGAGGTTCACATTACTTTATACAGAGGATTGAGGAGTGTGTAGCAGTCACCATCTTGAGACAGATGGTACCAGGCACCCTTGTAGTGAGTCATTGTTGTCTGCGGGAGCTCGTCACATCTTGACTTTCATCAGATTTTCTGCTTCACTGTGTTTCCCCCCTCATACTATCCACTCCATCCTTTCAGTATTTAAAAGCTGTTTTATAGCTGTTTTTGGCCAAGGCTCTTAAGGGTGTTCACAGTATAAAATCATTGTTTATTACAGAGATTAAATTGCTTTTAAAAATAAATAAATAAAGCAACTGAAGAAAAATTGTAACGTCAGAAGGAAGCTCTGAACAATCTAACTTGCAACTAACAGTTCTAAAGTCTGTCAGCAAAGAGCTGGCAATAAAATCAGGTGTATTTTCCAGTGGAAGGAAGTTCCACTTGTCAAAAGGACCTTGTCAGCAGGGGCCACTTGTCAAAAGGACCTTGTCAGCAGGGTGACAGCTCTTTTTTAAAAAAGGTGTATTGTTGGTTAAGCTGTTGTTTGCCTGATCCTGTGGATTGGTTTGCCCTGCCACAGGGCAAGTGATTTGTTACAGCTGAAGCATAATTTTGTGCTTGCGAAATTACTTAGTACAGCCGGCATATAAGATTGGGCTGCAAGATCATCTCTTAGATAAATATTCTGCATGAAACGTTTTCATGGCCCGGTCCTAAGATTTATTCCACCAGGGTAAGAACTAGATGTGCCAGATGGGGGACATGTTTTTATGATCTTTCAAGGGCATTTGGAGCCAATCCTCACCTGCAGTATTGGGGAGTCACGTTAATGGTTTACTGAGCAGAGGATTCATGGTTTGTTTAGTGAAGCAGCACATAAATTTCATACACAGTGGTTTACAAGCCACAATGCAACAATCGTAAAAACAGTTTAAGTAGTATTCAGTCTTTCCTGCACTACCTTTCCTTGTCTTTGATTGCCAGGGCAGACCCGTGCAAATGCAGTTTTCAACAGTATCAGTTCGTCTGTTCTTTTTCTTATTTCCAGCTTCTTAATTAGCTAGAATAGAAATCATTCACCACCCCGCCTTGGAAAATATTTTTATCAACATTATGGACAGATGCCAGTCATACCCTTCCTCCCATTCTCTGTGCAGTTGAAGTAGGGAGGGAGTTTGGTTCTAGGTAATGGAAGCTGGTGGTTCAGATTCAGAAAGCATAATGTCACTCCCTAGAGGGAAGGGAACCACTTCCTGCCCCAAGGAGCTTAGTGACTAATTTGGGAAACATTAGGGGAGGACCCATTTTTTGAATGTGAATGCCAGTTTCAACTTTTGTGTCACTTATATTACCCTTTCCTGCATTCGTGAATTCTCAACAGGGGGAATCAAGTAATGACATCCATACGTGGGAGGATATTACATATAGAATGAGTGCATACTGCTGCAAATATTGGAGTGTCTGTTTAATAAAATCTGGTTTTGATTTCTTTCTAACCAAAGGAAGTAACCTGTATTCTTCAATAGGTTGTAGCTGTATAGACTTACAGTGCAATCCTGTGCACAGTTTCTCCAGTATAATCCTGTTGGTGTCACTGACTGGAGTAGCTCTGCATTGGACTGCAGTGTTCAAATGTTTCACCATTTCCCCCCCCACACACACCCCATTCATCTGACTGCGAAGGTCTTATGTTTTCCATATTCCCAGATCAGGGACTTCTAAGTTGTGAGTCCTGATGTCCTTTTGGAAAACAGTTTATAAATAGAAATTGCTCTTTCCAGTGAAAGAAATGCTGAAAGCTGCTGTGTGAAGGGTTTTTAAAAATGATTTAAGTGCATGGTTTGAGGATTTAGCATCTTTATTCTCATTCATGTAACAATATTCCACGTTGTGCTCCAAACTGAGCCTTGCTGTGACTCTTCTGTCTTTGTGGTGCAGCCTTCACAAAGCAGGGATTCCACTCTCAGTGATGAAGCCATTGCCAAGCAATTGCAGCTTGAAGAAAATACAGAGGTAGGATACTTCGCTTTCCTGTTTTTAGCACCCCTTTTCTTCATGCTGAATGTGCAGGACTCCACTTGCCTCTTTTGATGAATGACGTTCTTACTGGCAAATATTTGGAGCATTGATAGTCCAGTATAACCTTTCTGCTAAAATTCCTTTTTTTAGTTTCTTTAGTATCTTTTCTACTTGGATCCTCTATTCTTTCCTTCTGACCCATTTTGTTACTTGACTCCACCACCTCCTGGAGTGAGTATTAGTTTCCTGACTGTTGCAGGCCGAGGGAATTACCAGTTCTGTTTTCCTTTTCTTCAAGTCAAGGAGTTTTAAAATAGTTCTGCTCCCCCCCACCCCACCCAAGTTCCCTGGAAACAGTTTAGCGATTTTGTCAGCCTACAAATGTAGGAAGTTAGCAGAAACTATGTCAATGAAGTCTGTTCAAATTTGCAACAAAAGTTCAGAACTCTAGCTGTAGAGGGTGCACTGGGATCTGAAGAGAAAATGCCTTAGTTCTGTGTGTTTTGCGTTTTTGAAGGGTCCACAAGAAAGACTGCTTTGTCTAACTGCGGTTACCAGACTCAATGTAAGGTATTGTCTATCCCATACAAAAGCCTTTCATGGCCTTGTTCCCTCTTGCTTGCAAGACTGCCTCTCCCACTGTGCTCTGCCACAACACCTTCAACTCCTGTCAGCAGGGCCTTCTGCAGGTGCCAACCTGCAAATGGGCAAAATCAACCACTGCCTGTACACGTGGCCTTCTCTATTGTGGCTCCCACCTTGCAGAAGGGCCTCCCTGAGGAGGTCAGGAAGGCTCCCCCTCTCCTGGTTTTCTGCAAACTGTGTAAAACTGAATCATTCAGGTGGGCTGTTCCACACAGGTAGGGTTGCCAAGTCCATCTTCCACCCCCAGCAGGGGACTTTGGGGGCATTCCTGGAGGGGCCGGGGCATCCCCGACGAGGGGGCGGGGCATCCCCGACGTGATGACATCACGTTGGGGACGTCTGCCCCCCCCGCCACCCGTGCGCAGGATCTCCAGAAACGGCAGTTCCCTGCACTTAAAGGAGCCGGCGTTTCCCTTTTAAATGCAGGAGCCAGCGTTTCCCCTTTAAGAGCAGCCACGTTTCCCTTTTAAGAGCACGAAACTGGCATTTCCCTGCAAGCGTGCGGAGATTGGGCTTGGCAGGAAACACGGGTTCCACACACTTAATGGGAGAGAGATGGGTGGCTGTGGGTGTTGGGGGTGGGGCTTCCCCCGCCAGCCACAGCGGGTAGCCCCCCAAAAACAGGGGACCCCTGACAAACCGGGGGGGTTGGCAACCCTACACACAGGTAATCAGGTTGCAGTGTACAAAATGGTTCACAAACTTCCTTGGATAAATTACTGTGATCTATTCTGCCATGTACAGTTTATTGTAAGTAGGATCCGACTGTGTAATTTTTGCGCTGCTTAATGGTGTCATGTTAATACTCACGCTGTACTTCAGCTCTATCTCTTAGATTTCTTTTTGGTTTCAGACTTCTAAAATCTGAACACCTTGTTTACTGAGTGTCCCATTTTGTTGATCGTCCTGACTCACTCTGTGTAATCCGACTTCAGTCCCTTTGAGAAAGGCGGACTATAAACAATGAAAATAAATAAGGCACTTGAGGAGCGAAGTATAAATCGTTTATTTTTATACATTTCATACCTTTATGCCCTGGTTTTCTTTGAAGACCTAAGGCTGCTAGCGAGTACAAGCACAGCATTTGCAATGGAACAATAAAGTGCCTACCATTAATTTCAGCAAAAATACACACGAAGCATAAAAAAGCACCCTAAAATGCATAATGGCCCCTTTCCCCGTGGTGCTTCTCAACCAGGTTCCATGTGGTTGGTAAAGTATAAACAGTCACACCACTCCATACTTAACCACCCAAGACTGTCAAGTGCTGCGTGCACAGGTGAACCAGAGGCATTGTGCTGTTATTGATAGCGTGTTCTGACCAGCTTTTCAGGGATACTCAGTTTCTGCCAAGCTGGTAGTCTTACTCTTGTGGTAATGATTTATGTAATCTGTAGCTTTTCGTATGCATTTAACTGATGTGTCAGGCTCCAAGCACACATGATGGCCACAGGCTCTGATGCTGAAACCAGAACCTACTCCACTTCTAAAGGGGATGAGCGTAGGGATCTAATTCTAACTTGGGGGAGCTGGAAAGGTTCAGCTCGTCTCATCTGCCCTCTTCCCCTGCCATTTTCTCTTAAAAATCATGGTCCCTACACTTTATTCATGACAGGGCAGGACTGGGTTTAAAGAAAAGGATCTGCTATCATCTTGTGGTGATTGAGCCTTAGAATATTCATTTTAAACAAATGAGAAAGCTTTCTAATATTTATACCTGAAATAATGTGGGGTTTTTTTTGGTGAATAAATCTTACATTAAATGTCTTAGCTTCATGTTGTTCTGACTGTTGATATAGTCTTGCAGGACCTTTTGAACCTTCTTATTCTTTATAACATGTTGAGGAGGTGGTGTGGCTCAGTGGTAGAGCCTCTGCTTGGCATGCAGAAGGTTCCAGGTTCAATCCCCAGCACTTCCAGTTAAAAGGATCAAGTAGTAGCTGAGGAGAAAGACCTCTGTCTGAGACCCTGGAAAGCTGCTGCCAGAATAGACCATACTGACCTTGATAGACCAGTGGTGTAACTCCGTATAAGGCAGCTTCACATGTGTTTATATGAAACAGAGAAGAGAATAGGTCATAGACAGGTAGGCATTAAATGAAGATGTGCCTGACTGACGAACCTGACTGACAGATGCTGAAAGGTGTGGGCGGTACATCTTCCAAGTTGGATTCTGAGGGGAGTCTGGGTGGTCTGGTCCCATTACTGAATTTGTTGCCCGAAACTATTCTGAGGGTGACAAGTCTATTACAGCATCACCAAGGGCCTCTGGACCATAAGAGAAAATATTTATACCCATTGCAAAAACCTACAGAAAAGAGAAGACTTGGTAGAATAGGTAAAATAAGTAACTTGTGTTGAAACTTAGTGTGGCAGCGGCTTTCACAGCATGGCCCTGATAACAGCCTGGCTCCAACTTCATGAGAAGATAGGAGGCCTCTCCTGAACACTGGCATGGGTGTCCCGATAGTTTCTTTCTTTTTTATGTGTGTGTGTGCGCGCACCTGGAAGTCATGGTGTCTGACTCCTATTGGAGGTCTGGAGAATATTCAGAGAGGTGGCTGAATAAAGCCTGCCCCCACCTCCCACCTCGGGTATTCCAAGAAGGTCTCCCATCCAAGTACTTGACGGGGTTGACCCCGCTTAGTTTCCGAGATCGGTGTCCCAGTAGTTTTTGTTGTCTTTGGCATCGTGGGCCGGGATGCCTTACAGTGCCAGGGCTAGGGAATGTGAGTTGTATCCCCTTTGAACGGTGTTGCGATTTGAAGCACAAGGATAGGATTAAGCTGTAAACTTCAAACCACTGTGTTTCTCTGTTATGAGACGTAAAAGCCAGCCTGACAACGAAAAAGGAATGATCTCTCTGTGTTTAAATATTTAAGTCTATATGTCAAGTTACCTGATGCTTTGGAAAGGTGGTTTGGTTTAGGGGAGACAATTTTTCTTCAATCCAAACTTGACAGCTTTTCCTTTTTGTCCTGTTTGGTTTGTTTGCCCACTTCCACTTTTGTTGTTAGTTCTGCTTCATGGCAAAAACAGGAAAGATTAATGCAATTCATTGTTCCTAACATCCTCCTGTGGTTTATGACCACATGGAACTAGAGCCTCTGGCATTCTTCTGCTTATGAAGTTATCTGTCTGAATCATGCATTGAGGCAAGTTTTGATCTCATTTTTGTCCAAAGATTGGATTTATGTAACACGGGCAGCACAACTCTTATCAATAAAAGTCTTGACAAGAATGAATTAGTTTCTCTTAAAGAAGCAATATTTGACAATAACAGGGTTCTGGTCACCATGGATATTGTGGTTATTGCGCTAATGGCAAAATGAAGGAGAATGTTACTAGATTGAATAGTTACAAATGGATCAGCCAGGGCATATAGTTGTATCAGGGCCAGAAGGGTAGTGCAAAAGATAACTTGAATTATGAGGGAGTGTTAGCTTATTTTGCATAAATCAAAATGCTTCCTCCCCCCAAACAACTGCCCTTTACCACCATACCCTCTCCCCATAGCCCGTAATCCCCGTACAATGATATTCACAGTGTCACCAGTATTTAAGGTTAAAGTTGGTATGGATCTTTCAAGCTCTACCTATTAGTATCATATTATTTTAGGCAGATCTTGCCAAAACTGGGTGGTGGAAGTTGCCGAGGAACTTGTGGACCTGGTCCTTCTTGGTTCCCTTTGGGAATGTAAAAGGGGATTACTTGCAAGATGGCTTATGCCAGCGGTGTAGACTTTCCAATTTCCCGGGGGGGGGCTGGGGCTGGACCAGAGGCATTGCTTTGCTAGGAGCAAGGGTGGCTCCCGGGGGAGGCTGAGTATCTTCCTGAAAATTTCGGCGGGGGCTCACGCCCCGCCGCCCCCACGAAGATTACGCCTATGGCTTATGCTAAATTGGGGGAGGTGGGGGGCTGAAGAACATTTGGTTTAAAATCTGTTTTTGTAAATCTGATTATTAGCAGTGGCAGTTTACTTTTGCTGTGATGAGTGATATGTTTCCTACTGCTTATAGTTGGAGAGACAACTGCACGAAGATGAAGAGTTTGCTAGAACTCTGGCCATGTTGGATGAAACTCCAAAGAAGAAAAAGGTAACCCTTTGTGAAAGGTTTGCTGTGTATAACTAATTCTTGACACGAGGTGGGGCAATCTAGAAGGATGTCTGTATTTTTATATGACAATAGGGTTGTGATCCTGGAGACACTGTGTCATCTGTTATACATATTTGAAATAACCATAGCCAAACCTGCTTCTGCCTCTCTGTAGATTTGCTACTTTCATGTTCAAGATAGCTATGCTGTCTTTTGCTTATTTGGTTCAGTTATGGTAATTCAGATGGGACACTTGCAGCTGTGTTAGATTTTTCTGGACCAAATATTTGTATTGTGAATGAGTTTTCCACACACCTTGCTAAAGGTGTTGGATTGAACTGGCTGGATTCTTGGAAAGTTGGCAGATGTAGGCACTGTACCAGACAGCACTCTGTAGCTACCGGAAATTGCTTTGTAACGGACCCTGAGTCAACACTGAAATTACTCCCAGTGGGGAGCCAGATAAGCGATCCTGCTGGCTGTGGTCAGATAGCCGATAGCTTGCCTGTATGGCCAGTTATGTGTCCTTCGGAAATGTCAACCAATTTTCTGCTTAAAATGTAGAAAACAGAGAAAAGAGGCAGGCTTAACAATGCTGAAGAATGGCAATAGTTTACTAATCCAGACAGCTTTGAAGCTACTGGAAGGGAAAGAATTTGTTTTTTAAATGTGTGCTGCTAAGCCCAATTTAGCTGAAACGTACTTTGGATTTGAATTGCAACTGTAAACGTTCTCATTATTAATATTTTAATATGTTTTTGTTGCCCTGGTAGCTCACAGAATTGGGCAGTACATTGTTAGTGCCGTGGCGTATATTTTCTGTGGTAGTAATTAAAAGCAAAAATCCCTTTTTGTCGAGTACTTCTTCCAGTGCTCAAGCACTATCAGGGCTGTTGTAAGAAAAGAGATGGCTGATCCGCAAATGGGCAGTTTCCTTCTTCCCTTTGTGTGCTTCTTTTCACCCCCCACCCCCCAGTAACCTTGAAATAGTGATTATTGCACGGGTTTGGTTGGATGTTTTGGTTGTCCACCTCTATCCTCCGCTTGTCTCCACAACAGTTTGGTCAAGACCAAGTACTTCTAGTTATCTAGTATCTCTTAATTGATTTCGTGGGAGTAGTAAAATACACATTTGACAGTGTAGAAAGTTATCTGATGTTAGGACTGCCAGATCTCCCACAATGGCAGGAGACCACTCACCACTCACAACAGTGGCAAAAGAAAAATGGGGGGGGGGAAGCAGATATTATTCTGACACTACGATGTCACTTCCAGTGCAATCCCAGAAGTGATGTCATTGTAAGGAGACAAATGTTCTATGACTCCCGCAAAACTCTGTGATAAAACTCTGCCCCCCACCCCTTCTGCCCCACCCCCCAACCTTCTGCCAGTTGCAAGCCCTGGGCTGGAAGCCGTGTCTGGTGTCCTCATGTCGAATAAATGCAGAATTTCTCTTCTGATTGACTTGAGAAGGAGCTCTCAATAGTGAAGGGATGCTGGATGCTATAGAAGCAAAGAATGGAGAGATATTGAAATTGCAACTGTATAGTTTAATTCCAAAGTACACTGAGCACATCTCTTAATCTGTTTTTTCCCCTTTAGCCTCGAAAGGATCCAGAGAATAAACAGGAGGTTTCAGCAGCAAAAACGATTCCCAAGGAAATTGAAAGAAATAAGCAGGCTCACAAAGGTAACTTTTACCTGGATTGTTTTGTTCATACCCGGTAGCACTTCGCTTTGTGTTTAAAACCTCCCTTCCCCCCTCCCCGCAGTGAAATCTGCTGATCTAACAGTTGACTCAAGAAATTATACTGCAAAGGACAAGACTTGCACAGAGAGTGCCAGGACGCTACTGGATCTACACCCTGAGCCTTCTGTTAATAAAGAGAGGAAGGAGTTGGGGAATAAGATGCAGTCTTCAAAAGTGAGCTCTAAACTGGCAGCTCTGAAGCAAAAAGAAGAGAGTGTAAGAAAACAAAACGAGTCTCCAAAAGTAAAATCAGTTTCACCGAAGGAAGAGAAGACACCTAAAAAAGAGAAAGTTTCACCCCAAAAATCTAAGGTAGGCTTGGGGAATACTACTTAGGGGACAGTAAGTTACTTTTATAGTAATGTGTGCTGGAAGGTTTTGTTGAGACGGGTCAGTCATATTGGTTGGCTGTTGCCAACAGCTCTAGTGAAGTGCAGACCTTACACTTGACTTGCATGCACGTGCCTAATAAGAACATAAGAATGTAAGAGAAGCCAATGTTAGATCAGGCCAGTGGCCCATCCAGTCCAACACTGTCACACAGTGGCCAAAAATACCAGGTGCCATCAGGAGGTCGAGCAGTTTGGGCCAGGGCATTAGAAGCCCTCCCACTGTTGCCCCTCCCCCAAGCACTAAGAATACAGAGTATCCCTTGCCCCGGAGTCCCTTGTGGCTAATAACCACCGATGGACCTCTGCTCTATATGTTTATCTAATTCCCTCTTGAAGCCGTCCATACTTCTAGCCACCACCACCTCCTGTGGCAGTGAATTTCATGTGCTTATCACTCTTTGGGTGAAGAAGTACTTCCTTTTATCTGTTCTAACCTGACCGCTCAGCAATTTCATGGAGTGCTCAGGAGTTTTGTATTGTGAGAAAGGGAGAAAAGTACATCTTTCTCTACCTGTCTATCCCATGCATAATCTTATAAACCTCAATCATGTCACCCCTCAGCCGTCGTTTCTCCAAGCTAAAGAGCCCCAAGCATTTTAACCTTTCCTCATAGGGAAAGTGTTCCAGCCTCGTGCCTAGTGACACATTAACCCATAACGCAGTCCCAGTGTGTTTCATTTCCCATATTGGATTACATCCATCCTAAATGTATATGTTTTTCTTTTGAAGTCTGTAAGCCCTGAGGACTCTGAAAAGAAGCGAGCCAACTATCAGGCTTATAGAAGCTTCCTTAATCGGGAAGGTCCAAAAGCACTCGGGTCTAAGGAGATCCCGCAGGTAAGTCTAGTGGGTTTGTTACAGAAGGATGGTCTGTGTTGTGTGCTGCTGACGCCTGCTGGCTCAGCTCTCCCGGGTGGGATGGAAGGGCCCTGTCCAGTCATCCTCCCCATCCTGCCCCCGCCCTCCACTCTCCTATTGTTGCATTTTTCTGAGTCCTCGAGAGACGTGGCCGTGCAGCTTTGTAAACGAGCCTTTACAACCTTTTGTTAAAGAAAGCACAGTCACATGATTCTTGTTTCCTCGGTATGCCACGACTCCCGTTGCTAAAAGAGGTTTGAAAAGAATGTGTTGGGACTGCAATCTGGAAGACCTTAGTTCAAATCCCCATTCCGCCATGGCTTTTACTGGGTGTCCTTTGACCAGTCACTGGTCTGGATCCACTGATAGTTTCCACTGACACAAGGGGGATTTCTGCCTGTGGGACATTCTTGCCTCTGCCATCCTCCTGCAGCCCAAAATGCTGCTCTCGGGGACTTGGGACCTCCCCTTCCGTTAGCAGAAATCTATCGCTGTATCCGGCCCCACTCTCTTTGATTCTGTGCACAGCAGGCCCACCCAAAGACCAGGTAAGGGTTCCCATAAGTATGCGAAAAAAATAGGACTTTGTAAGTTAACCGAAAGTGGAAGAAGAGGGAAATCCCAAATCTGGTCTGAAGAAGACTCTGGGAGAAGCAAAGACTTGAGAGCAGAGCGCCAATTGGGAGAGGGGGCCGGTTAGCCTGCTGAAATGCATGGAAGCTTACGGAACTCTGGAGGGAGAGATTCTGAATGGTGTGATAGGGTTTTCAAATCGCTCTCCCCTGCCCCGTTCATCACAGGCCTCCAGCTTGCAACTGTAAGAATCCTGAACATCACAGACTTAAAAAAAAGAAAAAAAATGTTAAAATGTTGGTATTTGTTGCGGTCCTGCAAAATGTTAGAAAAATTATTACTTGGTGTTCTCAAGTAGACATCTTTTTTTGGACTAGTGCAGGGAAAAAATAGTAAGTCCTGTGTGTTTGAGGCTTCCCCCTCCCAACTTGAAAAACATCCGAAGCACCAGGCAATATGTGCCTGTGTTCGCTTGTGAGTCTGTCTACATTCTTGTGTGCATTTCCAACTTTTAGTATGCATTTCTCCATACAAATACTGGTAGCATGAAAATTTGCACACCTATAGGGTGAGTACAGCTTTGTACCGAGAGTTGTAAAAACCCAGGCAGAAATTGAGCTGGGTCCTTGCAATCCATTGCTTTTAAATAAGAGTTAGCTTAGTGAATGTGTGCTGAACTGTCCACGCCACCCTCTTGCCTTCAGCGCGTTAAACACATGGTTATCTCCTAAAATCAGATTGTAACCATAGTATAAAATGGTAGGCAGGAATCTGGTTTGCATTGATGATAAGATTGCATTGGTGCTCATGTGCCATGAAACCATGTTTAATACCAGGAAGAGAAGGGGGAGTAACATACACAAAACTGGCTTCTGGTTTGCAGGAGTGCTTCATGTTAACACATTTCTGTTTGTAGGGTGGTGAAAATTGCTTGGAAGGTCTGACGTTTGTGATCACCGGCATCTTGGAATCTATTGAACGAGATGAGGCCAAGTCTTTAATTGAGCGCTATGGTGGGAAGGTAACTGGTAACATCAGCAAGAAGACCAACTATCTTGTTAAGGGCCGTGACTCTGGTGCATCTAAGAGTGAAAAGGTACGTTGTTCCAGATATAATGGGCTGTCCCAAGCTGATTTTCTGTGTATGATTGGCTGAACACAGAGGGAGGAGTTACCCAGTACCCTCCCCATTTTTTTTTTAACCAGTATTTTTCGTTTCGGGTCTTTAAAGGGACTGCAGTAGAAGCCAGACATACAGTGGAAGTGTAGCTGGGGGATCCAGTCACGAGACTGAAATGTGTTGGGAGTCATGGATCCCTTGCTGAATCATAGTGGCTTCCCATCTCTCTGACCCATTATACCACCGCCTTCCTCCTATCTCTGCTTACGTTTTAATTTTTCTGCACATCTGGAACTGTAGCCACTGCTCTTCTGTGATGAGAAGAAGCACCTGCTCTGGTTTTAAGAAGAGAATTCCTTTCCTAGATCACGTCAGGGTTCATCCTGCCCCAATGTTCTGGCCCTAACAGCGGTCAGCATTGCCTTGGGAAATAATCATCCATGCATGATAGTCATGGCCAGCCTAGTTCGTCCTTGGCCTCTGGTCCTCTGAAATACACTGCCTCTGATCATGGACATTCTATTCAGCTATTACATAACATAAGAGAAGCCAGTGTTGGATCAGGCCAATGGCCCATCCAGTCCAACACTCTGTCACACAGTGGGCAAAAATACCAGGTGCCAGCAGTGGGGCCAGGACAGTAGGAGCCCTCCCACTGTTGCCCCCCCCCCCCAAAGCACCAAGCATTATTGTGGTTAATGGCCATTGATCTATGCTTTGTCACTAATAATCTTTTAAGGCCACCTCAGTTAATGGCCATTGTCTTCAGTTTCATAGATATTTCTCCTCTGTTGTATTTTAACACACTGTGAATTTTTATTTCTGGCACAGGCATCAGCTTTAGGGACCAAAATCGTTGATGAAGATGGTTTATTTGAGCTCATTCGGACGATGCCAGGCAAGAAGTCAAAGTATGAAGTGGCAGCCGAAGCAGAGGTTTGTGCAAATTAATGTATAGCTCCGAGCCTGCTCAATCAGTCCTATGATGCGTAAAGTGTGGTTCTTCTGTCAGTGAAAACTGTCTGGCAGATTCCTTTATAACTCCCAGTATGGAAGAGTTGAAACAAAGATGGTTCCGTCCTTTGTAAATAATCGCAGCTCCATGGCTCTATTCAGGATTGCTTGCTTACCCCAGTCCTTCCCCAACAAAAGCCTTGTCCTGCCCGAATTTGACAAAATAAAGCTTCTGATATTTCAGCAGTCATTGCCAGCATGCTTGCATCTGTGAGGTCTACACTGTTATTCTAAACGATGAAAGCCAGGTTCTCATTCTATTGGATTATTTATCCGATGTTATCTTGCGTGTCCAGAATCCATAGACAAAGGTTGCGCCCTCACTGTTTGCATTCTGACATCAAGATAAACCACAGTTTGCTTAGAATGTGGAAGGCGCACCTTGTCCAAGACCAGCGCCTCCCATTTGAGGTTGCTTGGTGGCTGTGGAAGGCTGATCCTGTTCAGACTCTTTCTCTCTGAAACGATGGTGGGAAGGCATTCAGACGAAAGGCTGAATTCACTTCTCTAGCCCTCATTTGTCGCTGAACGTGTTACCTTCTGGTCAGTTGCAGATGAGTGGTCTTTGGGCATGCTGGTGCTGCATTCCAGAAGCTCTCTCCCACCTGGCTGTCCTTTTGGTTCCGCTTTCTTGTCCCAAACAGTTGCTTGCTGCTCTCTGTTGTTGGGGGGTGTTCCCCAGCAGATGGAGGCGGCATGGATTTGATCCTCAGCCAGCACTGTTAAGAGCGGTGGACTCTAATCTGGGAGAACCGGGGTTGATTCCCCACTCCTCCACAGGAAGCCTGTTGGGTGACCTTGGGCCAGTCACTGTTCTCTGAGGACTCTCCACCCCCACCTACCTCACAAGGTTGGCTGTTGTGGGGAGAGGAAGGGAAGGCGATTGTAAGCCGCTTTGAGACTGTAGGGCAGAGAAAAGTGGGGTATAAAAGCCAACTGTTCTTCTTCCCATTAGGGGGCAGATTGTTTTGGATTTTTTTTTTTTTTTGCAGGAGTAGAAGGATTTTCTCTGGCAAGGATTTGAGGACTTTTTACCCTGGGTAGAAACCCTTACCACTCTTGACAAATGCTCTAGTTTTCTGTTCATGTATGAAGATTGAATCCAGAGTGTTGTCAGGAACTGGCTATAGAGAGAGTTGTGCTCAGATCTTTTAAAAACTGGGGCTTGTAGCTTTTGTTGTCAATTTATAATATGGTTAACTGTTGGGCTTCCGTGAATCACTTAAGTATGTATTCTCTCGTAATAAGCTGTTTCTCTTCCCAAATAACTTACTTGGTGAGCATCGAGGGCCTTTCAGAATGCTATTTTAGACCCAGGAGGGTGGAACCTTATAAACTAGGAGTAGAGATGTGAAAAATTGAAGCCATGGGGGGGGGGGGGTTCTGGAAAAAACTGGAAATTTTGGGGGAAATTGAAATATTTGCAACATTTTCCTGTCAAACCTAATTTTTAACTCATTTAACATCATTTATAATTTAGTTGCATGTAAAATTGTACAATTAGGCATGTTCATGGAATGTAAAGACATTCCATGAATGTAAAGAATGTAAAGTATAACTGTCTTTGTTTTTAATAAGAAAAAAATGCAAGTTCACCCAGTAATTGAGAAAGATTTACTCACTGCTGTCCCCTGTGCTACCCTGTGCACATATCTCTTTAATTTTTCCTGTCTGGAAGGAAGGAAAGAAATAAAAGTTGGAGGTGGAAAACAGTTTCTGTAGTAAACAAAAGAAGGTGTCTTATTTGGACAGAATCTCTCTTATGGTCACAACAGGCGGGATTATTTATTTATTTAAAACATTTCTGTGCTGCCTTTCCACCTAAATCACGTTCTCAGGGAGGCTAAGATTAAAACATTTAAAACATGAAAGCAGCATTTAAAATATTTAAACAATTCCATAAAAACATATAGACATATGAACTCATCTTTGTATGTCTGGATGGAAGCACAGCATGTCTGAATGTTAACCTAAGTCCATAATATTAAAAACACTGCAGTCTTATTACCATTGAACACATTGTAGTATATAATTGTCACCAAAATGATATAAATTTAAAGAAAAAAACAGGCTTGAAAATGTGTCTACAGTATAGAAGCTGTTTTTTAGTGCTCCTCTAAATTTCTTATTTTTTCCATTGGAAAAATTGAGGAAGTTCTCAGGGGTTTTTTAAATTGTGGTGGTGTACATTATGAATGTGAAAACCCTTGCCTTAAGAAGCATTTTACTCATTCTAAAAGTGAAAATATTTCATAGAAGTTTTCCCCCCAATGTTTCCCCAAATTTCAGTTTTTTCCTCTGGGTCTCCACATCTCTAGCTCGGGCCTTGCTTTCCCTGGTTGTGTTTTACTCAGAGTAAGGAAAGCAGGCAAGGGAACTTGCCAGTCCAACGCCTCCTTCTGATCTTATCCTGAGTAGAACCACCAGATACAGTACAACTTCTGAACAGCCTCGCATGAGTGGAGGCGCTGAACTGAAAAGAATGGCTTGCTGTTAATGAATTGTTCTGGAAAGCTTTAAAATATACCTTAGAGCTGTACTTTTTGGTCTTTGAGAAGTCTCTCTAGATCATTTTGCCTGAGCCACCCCCTGCAACTGCTACAGCCCTTCTGCCTATTGCAGAGGATGGGCCACTGGTGAGGGCTGGTGGTCCTCATGGACACACTGGATGAACTTACAAAGAGCTCTGGAACGCCCATCTGCACATAGCGCAGAGAGAGAGATAATTGGTGAGTGGGCAAGCTGTTAGGGAAGTTTGACCGCCCCACCAGTCTCTTTGACGGATCCCTGAGAAGCTTCCAAGGAGCCTTGGACTTCTCAGAACACTGTTTGCTGTCTTCAAGCTCAGGTCTGCCAATTCCTTCCTGTGGTTTTTTTAGTTTTTTTTTTTTTTTTGCTTCCCTCAAGGCAAAGAAAACACAACCCAAATCAGGGAAAACACCGCAGAAGGTAGAAGCAGAAAAAAGAAAAATTAGCCCAGCAAAGGTGGAGATTGAGACTAAAAAGAAAAGGCCCACCCCTGGAAAAGATGGTGCTGTGAAATCTGCAAAGAAGGAAACCACAGAAGCTAGGAGAGGTCTGGTTTTCGATCAGAAAGCCCCGGAGAACAAACGTGCTGCAAAGGATGCAGAGAGACCAGTTCGAGAGACGAGTAAAGGCGAGGCAGAGGTGTTGTTGTGGGTGGACAAATACAAGCCCACATCCCTCAAGACAATCATTGGACAGCAAGGAGATCGGAGCTGTGCCAATAAACTTTTGTGTTGGCTTCAGAACTGGCACAAGAATACTTCAGAGGACAAGCATGGTAAATGTACATACATGATTTGTTTAAAATGTTTTTTGGGGGGGGCTGTGCCCCATGATGTCGGCTTAAGGTGGTTTACAAATACACTGTACAGGGCATAACAAACATTTCTTCTGGGATCTGCCCGTCCTAGTAGTGGGTTCGATCTAAAGAGTCCATTCCACCCATAGAAGTTGCTGGTGCTTCATTTCAGTTAAAAGTAATTTGATTCTGTCCATCTCTGTATTAGACATGGCTGGATAAACCTGTCCTCCATTTTCCCTGCAGTAAAATCCAGTAAGTTTGGAGGCAAAGATGATGGCGCCAGTTTCAAAGCAGCTTTACTTTCGGGGCCACCAGGAGTCGGTAAAACTACGACTGCTTCATTAGTTTGTGAGGTGAGTCGTATTTTCTCAAACAGGTGTTGGGAAGGTGGGAAATCTGATCCATGCGGATGGGCTTCCATTGGAGCTTCTTATTGCTCGCAACCGCTGAATGGCATGAAAAGTGCAGCATTTTGATGTTGGGGAAGGGTGTAAGCTGCTGCTTTTGTACTTACCAGTCGATAAGAGCAAAGGTATCTGCTGCACTTGGCACGTGGGAGTAGCCCAGCTCTGTCAGCTGAGAATTCTGAAGGGGTCCCCCCCACTGGCACACAGAGAAAGCTGGAGGGGATTGCAAGGAACTCCTAGGAAAGGAGGGTGGTCCCACCTGGCTGACATCGTCACTCTGTCATTTCCTCCATTTACCTCTGGCCTTACTGGCTCAAATTACAATGTCCTGTTGCGTCTTGTTCTTTGCGTCACATCGATTATAAATCAGGAACCCGTACCTGCTTAGGTTCTCTCTCTGGAGACACTTTTTTACATTGGTGGCTAATTTGGTACTTAGGAATTGTATTGGGGAAGGGAAGGAGGTGTGGTGAGGATTGCGGGGTGCCCCCTCCTCCCCAGTCGCCAACCTGGAAGCGAGAGGGATTTGTGGATGGGGATGGTTTTGGCCGATTGGGCCGTCTTCTTAGGGGTCGCTGGAAAGGACCAGTCCCCTCCCCCATGTCCTGCTGCAAAACTAGCTGCAGACTAAGGATCTATTTGGTATGAATGGGTTTTCTTTTTAGTAATGTAGCTTTAGTTGGTGTCTGATACTGAAACTGGTGGCTTTGTTTTCGTGTTGGGATTAGGAACTGGGTTTGAGTTACGTGGAACTGAATGCCAGTGACACACGCAGTAAGAACAGCCTGAAGGAGGTGGTCGCCGAGTCTCTAAACAACACCAGCATCAAAGGGTTCTGTTCAGGTATTTCTGTTTACATGGATGTTTATTGCGTCACCTAGTTCAGTCATCCCAGGTTTGCCTACAAGACCACCTCTCCAAAAAATTTTCTTTTGTTAGCTGACCCGCCCACTTTACATCAAGTCCTCCACGAGCAGTGTTTTAGAAAGCTAGTACTTGGGAAGAAGGCCCTTGGTGTGATCTTTTTGCTTCTCCGTCCTGTCTTTAGGAGCATCAACTTCTGTTAGCTCAAAGCATGTCCTAATCATGGATGAAGTGGATGGGATGGCAGGCAATGAAGACAGAGGAGGAATTCAGGTGAAACTACTTTCGGGAAGCATAAAGCAGTTACAATCGAGCTCATGTTGTCGGACAGGTGGCTAACAGGAGAATTCTAGATGCTTTGGGGGACAGAGTAAATCAGACCTCAGAATCAAACCTCAAAATGACTAATGTGACAAAAATAGAGGTGTGTGTGTGTGTCTGGGGAGAGAGGTGGGAAGCGAACATAAACTTAGATTGGATGAAACAAGTGATGATCATTCAAAACCTGTTTCCCTGACGATGGAAGAATGTGTGGTACTGTATGTTTTATTCTGCCCTGCTGCAAGCCCGGTGTCAGCTAGCTGCCATGCTTTCTTTGTTTTCTTTCGTCCCTGACCTTTCCGCATACGCACATGCTTGCTTTGCATAGCTACTGTGGGTAACATAAGGGAAGCGCTCTTTTCCCACCGTTCGAACTGGCTCAGCCAGACAGTGCTATCAGTGTAACCTTGAAGAGAAGGGAGGGCTTGCATTCCACTATCACTATCGGTGTGAATACTTCTGTTCTCAGGGGGGTGGGGAGAGTCTCCCGTTTATGATGTAATGTCCCGCCGGGAGAATTCCTGCGCGCGTGCTTGGATTTCATTTGCTTAGCTAGATGAGGCATCAGAGTATATGAATTGAGTCCCTTGCACTAATGCATTGAGTCCCTTGCATCGTTATTCCTGACAATGTACCTGTACCACTTGGCAACAGAACAGTATTCCAATAAAGCATAACTTTTCCTGAAGAGTGTGTTTGGACCTGCGTACTTGTTGACCCTGACACCCGGCAGTTGTTCACGCATGACTGCAGGGGAAGAGTGTGGGAGCAGTCTGCGAGGCAGCTTTCCTTCATACCCCTTCTCACCTGGCCACAGTCAGTGTGTGACAGGGTGCCCAGGGTCAGGATCTGCAGGTTAGTTTTTCAGGGGGGAGTCCTGTTGGTCTGCAGCAGAACAGAGGTTAAGACGCTGAGCTGCAGACCAGAAGGTCTGTGGTTCGACAGTTCGAGACCCTAGTGCCATATGACGGAGTGAGCTCTCATCTCTGGCCTCAGCTCCTGCCAGCCTAGCAGTTCGAAAACAAGAAATTGCAAGTAGATAAATAGGTACCACTTTGGTGGGAAGGTAGCAGCATTCCGAGCACCTCGGCGTTCAGTCACGCCCGCCACATGACCACGGAGGTCTTTGGACAATGCTGGCTCTTCGGCTTGGAAACAGAGATGAGCACCGCCCCCTAGAGTCAGATTCGACTAGCTTTCGAGCAGGGGAAACCTTTACCTTCAAGATGCTACTGGGCTCAAATCTAAAGTTTATGTTTGTTTCAGAACCACGTTAAATGGGAACCCAGTTTTATACTAACCACCAGCTTAGATTGGTACAGACGTTCCCCTTCCATGTAAAACCATGCTTAAATTAATTGGCGGTCACATTTTTATGCCTGGTTTCTTATCTAGAGACACCTTAAGAAGGTGGGTTGGATGGAGGGAGTGAATATATTTTAAGTAAATAATTTCTTTACTCTGTTTAAGAGGAGTCTAACATTATTTCTCCAGGATGGGTAGCCATGTCTGTCTGTAGCAGTAGAAAAGAGCAAAAGTCCAGTAGCACCTTAAAGACTAACAAAATATGTGGCAGGGCAGGGGCTTTCACGAATCACTGCTCACAAGAAGCTACCCTGCCACATATTTTGTTAGTCTTTAAAGTGCTACTGAACTCTTGCACTTTACTATTATTTCTCCAGTGCCTCTTTGTTTGATAAGACAAAGTGGAAGCAGTATTTTAGCTTACTAAAGAGTATACATGTTTTGACCTGGGCATTTTTCTTCCTTCCTTGTTGTGGCTTCTCTCTGAGACCGTACCGTAGGATCTTTTGTTTGGCACGGAACACTTTTGGCATAAAGTGTATGGATGGCTCCAAGGCTTTGTGTTACCAAGCATGTATAGCAGGGAGATGTTGCCTTTTGTGACCCTGAGTCCCAGCACTCTGGCCTACTAATCAGTTGGTGTAACAATGTCAAGCCCTTCTTGAACAGCTGAAGGCAGTACTCTGTTTTTGCCGCCTTGCTTCTATACAAAGAGCATAACCCTGGTGTCGCAATCTATCACTGCAGGAGCTAATCGACCTGATTAAGCATACAAAGGTTCCAATAATCTGTATGTGTAATGATCGGAATCATCCAAAGATCCGTTCCCTCGCCCACTACTGCTTCGACCTTCGCTTTCAGAGACCGCGTGTAGAACAGATTAAGGTATGCAGTTGACAATGTATGTGCTGGGGCGCTTCACTCAGTGCCACACGGGACCTGACCAGCAGTTCAGTCTGCATTAAAGGTGCCTAACCAGCTGCTTCCGGGCGACTCTTAAACTGGGCGTGATTGTTGCCCCCTGTTCACCCCAAGCATCGTATGATTTCAGATGCTGCTACTGGAGATAAAAAAGAGGTTCCAGTCAGGTGTCTTGGGCCGATAGCCAGTGAGAGATGAATTTATAGAGGACTGATCTAACTGGAGCAATATTGCGATATTTCGGGTACTTGACAGCTCCCCCGTTCTTGCAGTGGGGGCTCCCCCGTTCACACAGCGGGGGCAGGAGTCTTGGTAAGCCAGCGTGCATAGCCGCAAGCCGCTTGGCTGTGGGGTCGCAGGCTGTGCAAGCCATGCAGCCTTTTGCCTGCACCTTTCTCCCTGACGTGCTTGCCTTTCCATGTACAGTGAGGTGCTTTTAATTGGGCAAGGGAAAGCGATACAAATGCAGCACTCTGTTAGAAGCACCTAGTTAGAGTGGCACCATCCAGGAAAACCTGAGTCGCATAATTCTGCAAGTGGAATAAACTCTTGCTGAATCTCTTTTTGAGGGGCCTCATTCTAGAGCCCGAAACAGCCTGGGAGGCTTCTGCCTCTTTCTGCCACCCAGGAGTGTCTTGGTTGTTACAATAAGGGGAATGGCCAAAAAAACAGCAAATAACAACTGTGTACTGCACAAACCCGCAACAAAGTTAACAAAAAGAGACTTCAACACAAAGGTAATTCAACACATGTAATCCATCATAGGAAAATACAAAAGTCCACAATATCCCAAAGGGAAAGAACAAAGTCCAGAATAGAAATTTCTCAAAGGGAAACAAAGTCTATTCTGGACTTTGTTCTTTCCCTTTGGGATATTGTGGGCTTTTGTATTTTCCTATGATGGATTACATGTGTTGAATTACCTTTGTGTTGAAGTCTCTTTTTGTTAACTTTGTTGCGGGTTTGTGCAGTACACCGTTGTTATTTGCTGGTTTTTTGGCCATTGTTTACTGTGGACAATAAGGAGAATGCCAGTCACTTCTTTGGGGGAGGAAGGGGCAGGAAAGGTGGACTACAAGCAGAGCCGTCCATTGCTGGTGAGCAGGAAGAAAATGCTTAACCTGGAATCTGTTGGAGGTTATTGTGCCTCCTCCCCAGTAAAGAGAGAGTTTCGTTTAGTTCTTAAAGCAAAAATGACAGAAGATGTGGGCATGTAGCCGTTATAAAATATCGTTGCCACGATGGTTTACTAGAATTCTTGGGAGGGGGTCGCCCACTGCTCTTTCTGTGATTTTCATATTTTGAAGCCTGTGCTACTCGCAGGGTGCCATGATGTCTATCGCCTTCAAAGAAGGGCTCAAGGTTCCACCGCCAGCGATGAATGAAATCATCTTGGCAGCTAATCAGGACATCAGACAAGTGAGTTATCAGTTCCATTCTCAGTGCTGCTCTGTCACGTGTGGGTGGGATACCACCAGGTGGAATGCAAGATTCCTTCATCTGCAGAGGTTAGAGTGGGACAAGGGGCAGATGGCAGTGCGGGGATGGGCGTGGCTGGGAGGGTAGGATGAAGGATTTGGATAATAAGTTCCATGGGAAATTTTATCTGTTATTGGGAGTAGCGTTAGAGGAGTGGTTGGAGGAAGGAGTAGGCTTGAATGTTCTTGATGGATACAAGAAATGGGATAGGTGCAATATGTGTCGCTTGAGAATATTGGGAACCCTGGCATGAGAAAGCTTGCATCGGTAAAGCGATCTGGCAAGAAGGTTCCAAGAAACAAGGGCTGAAGGAGTCGCAGAAGGAGACAAAGACAGGGAGAGCTTTGAAAATCAGAGCAGAAGTCTTGCTTGCAGTGTGTGTGTATGGGGAAATCACACTGCTTTGTGGATATTTGCTGATATCAAATTGATGGCTATTTCTGGTCATTTATACACTTTGTGTTTTTCCTCTGGAAGGCACTCCTAGGAAACTTTGTCTCACCTCCCTACTTTCTTCTCAGGTTTTACACAATCTCAATATGTGGTGTGCAAAAAACAAAGCCCTGACTTATGACGGTGTCAAAGAAGATGCCAGTAAAGCCAGAAAGGATATCAAGCTGGTAAGAGAAGCATTGCCCTGAGTCCTGGATAGCCCAAACTAGTTCGATCTTGTTAGATCTTGGAAACTAAGCAGGGTTGGTCCTGGCTAGTATTTGGATGGGAGACCCCCCCCTGCAGAGTCAGGCAATGGCAGACCACCTCTGAATGTCTCTTGCCTTAAAAACACTGAAGAGTTGCCATAAGTCAGCTGTGACTCGACATCAAAGAGAGAGAGAGAGGCATCAGTGTTCTGTGAATGGCCGCAGACATGCCAGCTTGCTGAGCTGTTTTGGAATAGGACTGGCATAAATTTCTGTTGGCATGCCTATTTCAGAAGTTAACGTTTATATCTTGGGGAAGTGGAGGAATCGGTTGAAGTCAGCCGCTGTCTCTCAAAGTTAAAATCTGCACATCTTCAAAGTGATGCAAATAATTGGAGTTGTCAGGTTAGGAGAGAGCCTGCGTACTTTTTAAGGAACGCATAATCCAAGCGGTGAAGGTCTTTATCACAGAACTGCAGTGATAAGGAAGCTGCAGCTGTGGTAGAATTTGCCCCACAGTCTTGATTTGCATGTAGGAGAGAACCAAGGAGGAATGAGAAACGTCTTGGTAAGAGCATAGGCCGGTTACGATTAGGTTTAGCAGGATGGAGAGGGAAAAGGATGGATTGTGTGACACCAGAATAGGTGAAGAGAGTGGACACTTTCTCTTGATGGCATTGGAAGATGGCAGCCACTCAACATCTTTGGTATAATGAACTTTATCACTGTCCCATCTCTGACAATATTGTTACAAATACCCAAGATCTAGGTCTGGCACTATTTGGTTATCCCATTGTAGAGTTTATTTAATTAGAATTTAAAATTTGGAATGAGGTGACCTATATAACGTCACAGGCAGTGCTAAGCATCCTGTTTGCACCAGTTCTTGCTCCATGCATTGCATTTAGAGACTGGCTTGGGGGTGGTGGTGTGGCTTCTAAATAAAACACCAGCGGTTTGTTTTCTTCCCGATTCCTCCAACTTAAGAAATATGCAGTTAAAAAAGAAATCTGGCCACGTGATGGGATTTCATCACGTTCCGTTTCCCTGTTCATCTTGGCACAGGTGTCAGAGAGGAGCCGTCCAGAGGGCCATGGTGGCTCATCATATGCTCTGCTTTTTGGGGGGGTGGGGAAGTCAGAGCTGCTGTTTTCAGCAGTAGTCCCACACCTCCAAATAGAAGCTGGTCTGGCCCTGAATGTAGAACAGTCCATGACGTTTTAAAAAGGGACATGATTTCACGATGTCCCAGGAATCATTGCCATTCTTTAAACCAGTCTGATGCGCTCTGACCTTTAGGAGCTGTTGAGATTTAATGCAAATTGTTGTGAATCCTTGGGCAGAAAATGCTGTGAATTGCTACCGTTGTGGAATCGAAACTAGCTTGACTGATCGCTGCTGAAGGTTTCCTCCACAGCATCCACATATCTTGCTTTAAAACCATTGTTTTGCAGGGCCCTTTTGACGTTGTCAGGAAGGTTTTCGCTGCTGGAGAAGAGACTTCTCGTCTGTCCCTTATTGACAAGTCAGACCTGTTCTTCCACGATTACTCTCTAGCCCCTCTCTTTGTCCAGGAAAACTACGTACACGTGAAACCAGCTGCTGCTGGGTGAGTTAATGGAAACAGCATAGTTGGGACTTGAATTAAAATGTATGGGTATCAAATGGAATATGTTGGTAATAACATGGCCAGGTGGTCTTCTCCTAGGGGCAGCATGAAGAAACATCTGATGTTGCTTAGCAAAGCAGCTGACAGTATATGTGATGGCGATCTAGTTGACCGGCAGATTCGCAGCAAGCAAAACTGGAGCCTTCTACCAACACAGGTAACCTCCGCCTTCGTTTTCCACTGCCTCATCTCTGCATTTCTTTGCTTCGTTGTTACAGGTTGTAAACACGGAACATACCAGCGGCTCATAGAAGTTACATGTAAAGCTAACTTTTGCACACATCCCAACCCCAAGCCGTATGATAGATTCTGACCCGTTGTCTAGAGTAATGGCTAAAGCAGCGATCGGTAACTATGGTTTAGTATAGAACCAAATATGGATGTTTGAAAAGGTATATTGAAGGAGGAGGCAAAGATTTTTATGGGATTCAGGGGCTTCCCTCAAGATGCTTCACAGAAAGTGAATTCTTCTCATAGCCTTTTCAGGTGATCAAAGAAGATGCCCCCTTTTTCATTAGCAGAAAAGCTGGTTATATCCAACCATTTCTTTGGATCTTTAATTATAAAATGTTGTTGACATCTTTTGGTCTAAAGTGAATGTGAAGAGCGGAGTACTTGTTTTTAAAGAGAGAGACATTAGTTGCTCTTGGGACTTTTTCTTGCATAAATCAAGAGGTAAACAAAGGGTGTTTTAATTGTGGAAGGGAAAGGTGGATTCAGTGGATTCAGAACATTACTATTTTCCTTTCATGCAGTGGTATTTACATTCATGTTCCAGTAGGATCACACACATCTGCAGACTTCCCAAGTATGTTGACCAAGGAGTTTTAGCTCACTATTCATTCGTCCTTCCACGTCGACATTGGGCACACTTGGCTTTCTGGTTCTTTTAGGAAAATTCAGTAGTGGCTCAGAATAAGAGAAATCAGATTTTTCCATTGGCAGCAAACTTACGACATCTATGCATTTGGCTTTAAGGATTAGACTTCTTGAAAATACGTGTTTGATACAGATGTTCTATAATATTAGTAGTTGTAGATTTTCCGGGTTGTCCTATAATAGTTTCCAATATGGAATTTTGAATAATAGCTTTCTACTGTGCATTCTTATGCTATTCTGTTAAAAACAACATTAAATACCTGACTTAAAACTGATTTTTCAAGGCATGGTGTCCAGTGATTCTATAGCACAAACAACTTCCAGTAGGACTTCATGGGATAGTAACGACTGAAGATCATTTGAATAGACAATGCCTGAGAAAATATTAATGCCAAATATATAGGTCATAAAACATGCTTGGCTTGGAGATTAGAAGCATAACTCATTTTACTGCATTGGAATATCATGCCCTATCCATAGCTTCTTTTCATTCTGTTAGTGATACTTGGGCTTAAATCCAAAGGCAACTATTCGCTTTTATAACGTTGACCCTCTCTGGAATGCAAATATATAGAAAGCACAAATGAGAAAATGTGTACTGTGCTTGAGATACTGAGCTCTACAAAGATAAGCATGAAAAGTTTAGTTGTGTGTAAGGCCAGAGGCATTTTTCTGCTATGCAGAAATCAATAGATAAGTGATTCAAATGCATTAGGCTCATGGAATTACGTTACACAAAATCTACGCTGTATTTTGGTGGATCTTAAAATGAGACTTGACAAAGCGAGTGACAGGAGAATATATCTCTACTAGTCATAGAGCAGCAGTTCAGTAGAGTTATCTCCATGTTCAATATTGCCCATTTCACAGCTGCTGCCTTGAGTACAGTTCTGAATTTGTCTTTTTGTGTGTGTAGTTTAGGAAGCACTGCTGTCTGTTGTAGCCTCTATGCAAAATCATTGTGTATCTACTCTTTCCTTTTAAGGCCATTTATTCGAGCGTCCTCCCTGGGGAGCTGATGCGAGGTTCCATGCAACAATTCCCAAATTTTCCAAGTTGGTTGGGCAAATTTTCATCCACGGGAAAACATGACCGTATCCTTCAAGAGCTGACGATGCACATGAGTCTCAGGTAACACTGGGTAACTTCTTGTAGCTTCTGATTGTATGATATTCTTGTGGTCCATACTGTCTGTCAGGCACTATGCATTCTTTCACATGTTCCTTGGAGAAAGATAAAAAGCCGTGCAGTCATTCTTGTGGTATTTTCTAGGCTTAGTTTACCCATGGAGTTGCATGGGTGAATAGGATTGTGAGGTGGACACAAATCTTCAGAATAGCCAAATAACAGCAAGTCTTGGGATACCTTGACTAATGGATTTATTTGTGGCATGAGCTTTTGGGATCCAGAGCATGCTTTATAAAATATACAAAGGGCTACATTTACTTAGCAGAGAGATTGATACCTAAAGCCATAAGGAGGGGTGTGCATTTGGGTCTACCCAAGCCAAAAATCTACCCAAAAAAAATACCTTACCGGTTTTTTGGGGGGTAGATTTCAGCATCCCAAATGTATTCGGGTTTTCTCAGAAAAACCAGGAAAAATGTTCCCCCCAAAATCCCAGATATATTTGGAAATTACCAGGTAGATCCCACATCTCAGCTGTTTGTTGGACCTCTCATGCAGTCCCTTTGAAGTTTAAAGGGACTGCAGAAGACAGCCTGAGGATCTGTTGTGCCAGCAGGGGGCAGACCCTTTCTGCTGACTCAGATTGGGGCTGGCTTCTCATGCAGCCCAGTTTAAACCAGGCTGCCGAAGACGCCAGCCCTAAGAACTCCTGTGCTGCCAGGAACAGATTGCTCCCTGCAGGCTGGGCTTTGCACTAGCTTCTCCTGCAGCCCGGAGCTCATTGCTCCTGGCAGCACAGCAGCTCCTGGAGCTCACGTCTCCTGCAGGCCGATTTAAAATGGACTGCTGGAGAAGCGAGCCCAGCCAGGATCAGCTGTGCCCATGGGGAACAGATTGTTCCCCGCTGACTCAGCTTTGTGTTGGCTTTTTTTTGTTTTAACCAGTATTTTTCTTCTCTGGTCTATTGGACCTGAAAAAATTCGGGATTTCTGAAAAATCCCGGATCTGAATACCCTACTGGTATTGGGATCTGGGATTTTCCAGAAATCTAGACATTTTTTTCGGGTCCTATGAAGCCAAACGGAAAAATATTGGGTAAAATGTTTTTGCACACCCCTAGCTATAAGCAGCTCAAAGAGTGAGAAGTTACTGAAAGAAGTGGGAAGGCCATTTCGTGCTATAGATTGGGTGACAGTACATTGTAGAATACAGATGAAAACAAGATCAAGACAGTCCATTTCTCAATCTTCCCTGTTTGTGTTAACAAAACAAACCCTTGTTGCAGATGTAAAAACAAGCAAACCAGCACTTCAGGGAGAGAGTGTCTAGTGCAGCCTGCTCAGTGATTTGCTAGTTTTTTTACTTGCAGGGAGGATTTCATGTGGAGCAGAAACATTCAGATATCCCCTGCCTATGATGTGGTCCATTCTTCCATCTCATTCCCATCTCATTCTGCTGCACATACAAGGCCAGGCCTGACTGAAGTGTCCAATCTACTGTTCCTGCCCTAGACATTGCTGTCTTCCAGACAGCAGTTCTATTTGTCAGCAATGTGACAAGGCACAAAATTGTTTCCAGGGCCAATTCAGTGTGCTGGCCTTGATCTTTGAAGCCCTGCACCACTGAGAGCCTCCTATTCCCCCCATGAGCTTTCTCAACAACTGGAGCAAACATGTGAGCTCCCCATATGGTCCTTAGCAACACTGCAACTTGCACTGCCTCTTAATTTTGCATTTAAATGGGCATTTTCAACTTGTAAGGCACTATATCAAAATCACATGTCATTGTGAGGCAGGCCAGAAGACAGAACATTTGAGATATCATATGGGCAGATATGAGATGTACTGCGAAATCATGGTTCAGAATATTCTCTGAGCTGAGTTTCTTTCAGCATTCGTTGACTCTGCCTCCCAAACATTCAAGATGAATTGTAATGGCATATGGTTACATTGCAGCATCAGAAGCTTGGTCTCCATTTTGCCCCTAAATCAGGAGGAGCTTATATGAGGCTGCCTTATCGTCAGACTAGTGACCCATTCAGTTTGAATCACATCTGCATGTGCACACATGCGCCCAGCCCATGACGCTCTAAGATAGCAAGCAGGAGTCTGTCTCAGCCCCGAGGTCTCTGAATGCTGGTGCGTGAACCTAGGAGTGCCTTTGTGCAATGCTGTGGACCCTCCATTGAGAAAAAGCCTTGCTAAATACGTTTTATCCCTCCCCACAGAACCCATGCAAGCAAGAGAGCAGTAAACCTGGAGTATTTGCCATACTTGCAAGGTGCCATTGTGAGGCCCTTGGCTGGCCTGGGGACAGAAGGGGTGCAGGATGCTGTGGCCTTCATGGATTCCTATTGTTTGGTGAAGGAAGACGTTGAAAACCTAATGGAATTAACCAGTTGGGGAGGCAAGCCCAGTGCATTTTCTAAACTGGATTCCAAGGTAGGAAACCCATCAAGTGAATTTCAGTTGAGATTGTGCGTAAAAAGGGAAGGGTGCTTTGTTTAGAAGCTGAAAGCCTGCAAAGAATCGGAGAAGCAAGGGTAGGTGGGGGCAGTGTTAATGGTTTGGGAATCTTTCCCCCCCCCCACCAGAATTTCTCCTCCAGGCTTCCGTTCATTCTCAGGGGCTGGAAAAGACTGATCTCATTTCTTCCTCATCTTTTAACTCCTACTAAGCTGCTCTCAGTATTCCATCCCTTCTGGAGTTATTTAGTCCTTGACAGGGCTTTGGGTCCTGGTTGATAGCCAGTGTGGTGTTGCTGCAAAGATTCGCAAAATTTTTGTGGACCCTCCCATGATATTATATTTGTACTGTTAGTGCCTGTTTGAGAAAATACATAATGAGAAGATCAAAATAACAATGCTTACTGTGCATATGGATTCATGCAACCCTTCTAATAGCTTTGCAGCCCCCGGGGTCCCTGGCCCGCAGGTTGGGAAGCAGTGGTATAGCGGTTAGTGTTGTCCTAGGACATGGGAGACTTAACCTGGAATGTACCACAGGACTAAATTTTCTACCGCAAGAGCCCCCTTGGTCAGGTGCACCTTTGGAAGCTTCTGCCGCAATAATTTTGGATTGGATCCTTTTTCTACCTTCCCTTCTCTGCAAAATATGTGATTACTTTACTTGTAACTTTGCTTTTGCGGTTGGAGACAGTCTCTCTAGATTAATCACTTTTACCTTTGTGAGAGAATTTCCACATCGACATGTCTGCTACACAGCCTGGGCCATGATATCAGGCACTCACCAAGGCCTGTTGGGCCCGTCCGTTGCCTCACGTGTGCTAGTGTGGTCTGGAAGTCACCTGTGTTGTGTGCACGTGTACTGAGAGAGTTAAAGGAAGCTGTCTTCATGGATCCTAGTCTGCCCTTACTGGTTCTCTCTGAAAAATCCCAAGGGACCTCAGGGAATAGAGTCCGGGAGCCATGGTTCAGATGGATTTGTTGTATGTTAATCTCCAGTAGACAGATCATTATGATCTAAGCTGACAGCTACCTGTCAGCAGGTGGATGGATAGAGCAAGTTCCAACCGGTTTAGACTGGCACTGGACAGTGTGCAGTCACAGTGACTCAGCATGACACTGATTGGTGGAACTCTGTATATAAGTCATTGTACAGTTACCATGTATCCTCCTCCTCTGTATTGGATGCCTGGCGTAGCACGTTGCTTGTGAATATTGTGAATAAACCCTTGTACATAGTGTACCACTGGACTGCGTTATTGTGGTTACTATAAGGGGCTTCACAGCAAGAACTGCAGTGGAAAGCTGGTGAGGCTGGAGGCTGGGAAGGGTCTGGCTTGGACAGTCCCACACCCTTAGCGCAACAGGATTATTTATCTGCTTCATTTATACCCTGCCTTCCTCCCCAGTGGGGACCTAGAGCAAGTGACATTGTTCCCTGGTCATCCATTTTGTCCTCACAGCAACCCAGAGAGAGAGAGGTTAGCCTGAGACTGTGTGATTGGCCCAGGGGTCACCCAATGAGCTTCCATGGCAGAGTAGAGATTTGAACCTGAGTCTCCCAGGTACTAGTCTGGCACTCTAACCACTACACCACACCGGCCAAAACGAATCTTCGTTTTCATACGGATGGTCTTTCGTTCACCCCAAACAGGTTAAATCGGCTTTCACGCGCAGCTATAACAAAGAGGTGCATCTCACACCCTATTCGTTGCAAATAGTAAAGAAGTCAAAGCGACAAGCAGAGTCTTCTCAGGATACAGAACTGAATGAAGAACTGGAGGCTGATGAAGTCCAGTCTGAGGATGAGCAGACTATTGAAAATGATGCAATGATTAAGGTAATATTTCCCATTAATGGTGCAGTTAATGCAGCAACTCCGGGAAGCGGCTTTATTGTTGAGTATTTGGCTACCTGGGACTGATGGGCTGCGTACTTGTATTCATTAGCTTAATTTTTTATAGACTGCTAAAGTGGCTTCTTTGAAATGTTGATGGACTTGCAGGACATGACTTGTGTGAAGCTTTTGAGCACATTTTGCACCACTCCATCCCATTCTTTCAGTACATTTGACTCTATAGAAAGTGTTCTGGGAAAGATGGAAAGCACTGTGACATTGATAACATGTGACTTTGAGCAGGAAATGGCAGACCAGTATCTGGTTTAATGCATCTTTTCTGAAAATTGTATAGAAAAATACGATGCTGGATCAGATGTCAGCTTGATCTGATCTAACAGCTCTCTCCATATAAGGGAATCCTACAAGTGGGCGTCGTTCATATCTGTGGGAGCCCTCTTCAGGTTGACTTGACTGTTTTGGGGAGGAGTGGAATGCCTTATTATTTTTGTCTTTCCTTTTAAATGTTGTAAGTGGAGTTGGATGCTACAACTTTGTTCAGGTCACAGCAGGTCATTCTTTGGTGCAAGGTGCTTTGTGTGGTCAAAGGCCTCACCATTGGTTCCAACCCATTATCTGTTCTAAGTTTTAAATATAAGTCTTTGGTGGCAGAGTGATATTTCATCACTGGATACTGCCACTTATGTTTGGGCAGTGGGTAGAAGGAATGCCAAAAGCTTAGAAGTGCGTCCCCCACACATTCTGGTAATTGGGGGACTTCTGGAATTTATATTTTTTGCAGAACTGGGTTGTTTAATATTGAAACTCACATGCTACCATTATGGGTTGGGCAGTTTGGTGTAGTGGTTAAGTGCACGGACTCTAATCTGAGAGAACCAGGTTTGATTCCCCACTCCTCCACTTGCAGCTGCTGGATGACCTTGGGCAAGCCATAGTTCTGTCAGAGCTCTCTCAGCCCCACCTACCTCACAGGGTGTCTGTTGTGGGGAGGGGAAGGGAAAGGAGTTTGTAAGCCACTCTGAGAGAAGGGCGGGGGATAAATTCAATCTCTTCTAGTCATCACTGTTTCACTTTTTTGTTGTTGTAATGGCTATTTAAATACTTGATTTCCCCCCCTCTCCTACAGAAGGCAAGGTCTGCCAAGCAGCCAAAAGTGGAAAGACCTGAACAAACAAAAAAGGGAAAGACAAAGAAGAAATCTAAATGACTCATTCATTTCTGATTAATAACACCGACTAGCTGTTCAAACTTTGCTGTCATGTTACTTCAGGCAGAAATGAAGAGGAAAGGCTAACATGAATGGACTGGAAAAGCCCCTCGTAGACAGTGTTTCTCCTGTATTGCTACTACAGTACAAAAAGATACACACATGAAGTCTAAATAAGACTAACAACAATTTATTTCTGCCAATTGGTATAAAAACTCAGCAACAACATCTTTGCAGAGCTCCTGGCATTTTTTAAATAACCATTATGTTGTCAGATCTTGTATATAGTATATAATAACAGATGCTAAATTGCGTGTTTCTTTTGTACATGATAAATGTGCAGCAGTATGTAAAGTTGCAATAAAAATTAGTTTCATATTTTAAACAATTTTTCTACTTGAATTGCATGATACAGCTGAACTTTTAATTTTTTTAATTGTTTTTGGTGACTATTTGTGTGTGCGCATGCCAGGAAGTCATGGCTGACCTCTGGTGACCCCTAGTGGGGCTTGGACCTTTCAGAGAGGTGACTTGCTACTGCCTGCCTCTGCAACCCGGCCCTGGAATTCCTTGGAGGTCTCCTATCCAAGTACTTGCCAGATCTGAACATTGTTTCTCATGCTCCTTGCCTAATACTATATAGCACCTGAAGCATTCTTCACACACAACTCTGTGCATGTGTAGGGGTAGACCACATCCTATGCAATGAGGCAGAGAAGCTGTTTTCTAGGAAGAATTTTGGAGACCATGTTCTAGAGCAGGTGCCAAGATTCCCTGGTGTCCATATTTCAGTATGTCCACAGTTTTCAGGGGGAAGTGTTCCCCTTGCCACCCTCAGAACACCCCTGAATTTGGTACTTGGGTCTGTGGGAAAAACAGTATTGCATATCCCAGCATGCTCCAGGTACCTTGTTCTCGCAGCCACTAAAGCAAATATTAAAGAATATCTTTTTTTTAATTCCCCCAAGTGTTTTTTCTTCTCCCTCATTATTTTGTCTTTCCAGCATGTTTTCTTCTCCCTTCCAAGTATCACCACCAAAATGTGAAAAGTTCCTTCTCAAGGGTTACCTCTGTCTGCACCCCAACCCGATGATTAGTGAGAAATCAGAGGATGAAAGGAGAATACCACATTCTTTTTTGTGTAAAATGGCCAAGAGCCAAAGGAATCTAGAACTTGTGCAATGGAGTTTTAATATCTTCCTTAGCAGAAAATGTCCATCCTTGCCTTTTGGCCTGGAGCAGCTGTATAGTTTAGGTGGAACTCTGGTTGTTGATTGTTCTTCACTGTCTGGGGTCATCTGCATTTCTAGGGCACTGGCTGGCTCTGAGGTGACCCCCCTCCCCAACTGAGCACTCAGGAGCTTTGAACATCCTAGGGGAATGGTGCTCGATTTGAAATATAGTCACATATATAAACTGTGTCTTCCAAACAAGGTATGAACTTTGGCGACTTTACTAAGACTTGTCATATAGCATTCAAATTTTTATTGTAAACAGAAATGGCTATGGTACAAACATTCTATCAAAATATAAATATTTACAGTTCAGAATTAGAACAGATTTGGGTAACTATAAAAATCTTGTAAGAGCAGTACCAACTGGATTCAAAACCTTGACACATCCTTAAATATTGCAGCACTTGTGTGGTCGGTGTCTTCTGAAAATGTACACGGTTGTGTGTTCTAATTCAGAAGGGTTAAGTAATTTTCATTACATTGCACAGTAGAAAAATTCATTTTCTGGCTTGTATAATGTTGCAACATTTGATCTGCAGAGGTATAAAAACATAAAACATCTGGTCTCAAACTGTTTTACGTTCTTCCACATTCCAGGAGTTGGGAAAACAGGGACAAAAGCTGCTGTAGGGGGGGGGGATGTGTGGTATAAACTGAACCACCCCTCCCCCAATACCTTATCGGTATTTTCAAGTATTTATTAAGCCAAATACAGATCAGCTACCAATACGGCTCAGCTCAAAAACCGATTTTTTTGGGGGGGGGCGGGCTTTTATTTGGGCAAACCCAAGCCAGCTGCGGTGGCTCAGACGCTGAACTGCAGGCTGTGAAAGGTCAGCAGTTCAAGACCCGGGTTGCTGCATGATGGCGTGAGCTCCCAGCTCTAGTTCCAGCTCCTGCCAACCTAGGAGTTCGAAAGCAAGAAATTGCAAGTAGATAAATAGGGACCACTTCGGTGGGAAGGTAACAGCGTCCCGTGCGCCTCGGTGTTTAGTCATGCCGGCCACATGACCACGGAAACGTCTTCGGACGGCGCTGGCTCTTCGGCTTTGAAACGGAGATCACCGCAACCCTAGAGCCGGACTCGACTGGCTTTCGAGCAAGGGAACCTTTACCTTTTTAAGCCAGCCAAAGTAGCATGGAGCCGTCAGCTCTGCGTTGCTCTGGCTGGTCCTGTTTTGCAGCTCTGAGCTGCAAGAGAGGACCAGCCGGGGGAGCAAGGAGCTGAGAGCGTTGCTTCGGCTTGGGCTGGCTGGCTCCTCTTGCAGCTTAGTTTAGACCAAGCTGCAAGAGGAGTCAGCCCGGGATTGGCTGGGGCTGTGGGCGCTGGCTGCTCCAGCTGACCCTCCCTCCCTTGCCCACAGGCTCAAGTTAGAATATCTCTACAATTACGGCGAAGGTCAAAATACTTACTTGACTACAATCATTATTCTACTTCCAGCTTGAGGTATGGTGTACAGTCAACTACTTTCATAAGGCTGACAACATTAACTTTTTCTGAACACATTGGACACGTGCTTTCATTCTGTAACAAACTGTTTAAAGATAACGGAAATCACATTTGTGGCTGTTAGAATCACACTTAAACCATTTCAGCTGCTTTTGATTTAACGTTGCTTCACAAGGATAGAATCCTACCAAGGGGACATTCATTTTAATGTCAACATACGTGAAATCTGTGCACTGGGTTCACATGCATGTGGTTATGCTCAGAACAAGAGATTAAAAAAACAAGGCTGAGGGTGCAAGTAAAGTAAAAAGTATATATTTTATTACTTAGCTAAAAATTCCGTATGTGTTTTGCCAACAAGCTTCTTCAGGGGAATCAATAATATAATATACAAATACAGTACTGAGTTCTCATAATGATATAACCGTGGTTGTGCAGTTAAACGTATGTAAATAAATATGTTCTAAAAAATCAAATTGCAATTTGTACTGTGCAATGTTGCACTCTGTACAGAAAAGGACTATGTGCAAAAAATACCCTAAGAGTTTTGGTCAAATTCTCCTTTAGCAGCAAGTTTGGGTGGACACCCACTTTCTGATGGGCCCGAAAAGGAACTTTCTGCTTCTGAGAAGAACCCCTTGATATGTGTGCCAGAAACATGTAAACCTTTGCCTCCTGTCTGCCAACCCTGAGACATGTTACAGAACTGGAGACCCTGTCCGCAGGAAGGAGACACTTATGAAGATTTAAGGCTCTTCTGCATTCTCGTTTTTGTCATTTGTGTGTCCCTGTTGTTTTTTCCTTTTCCACATGTTTTGCTACCTCTAGTGGTCGATTTGATATTACATCGCTGTGTGTTTGGCATATCGCTTTCAGACGCCGGGCCTACAGCAATGTAATATCGGATCAACCACTAGAGGGAGAAAACATGTGGAACATGAAAAAAAGAAAGAACCCTAAAGCAACAGTGATGCACAACGTAGGAAAATGAAAATGTGGCTAGTTAGGTAATGTAAACTTGTTTTTTCCTTTCAAGTCTTGTATTCAGTAGTTTCCATCTGTTTAGATTTTCCTATTAGCTTTTTTGTGTGTGCACAGAATAAAACCTTAATACAATTTGCTCTTTTGGCTCTGAGAGACTTTCTGTGTTACTCTCCCCACGAGCTGGCTGCATCAAGCTCATGGTATCAAAAACCTGAGAACTGGGGAAAGTGTTAAGCTCTGCCTCAGCACCATACGGACATACAGTAAGGGATATTTCCTGGCTGATCCAGAGCAGTCTAACATCTCTGCGTGGTGGCAAACTACTACAGAGAATATGGCAGCTAGTGGGAGTGTCTCTGTAAACTTCCAGATGCACAACCCAGCAGACCCGAGGAGGAAAAGAAATGGAACCTACAATTAGGGGCCCTAACAGAATCACCTAGAGCCAGGTCAGTACCCTAAAATGAACTCCAGAGTATCCTGGGGACCACATTGCACATGAAGGAGCACAATGTGTATGGCACCCCCCCCCCCCAGCTTGCTTGCTTTCAGTTCTAAGAGGTGGTTGGGGTAAAAAGTTCAGAATCTGTTTTGTCATTTAAAATCTCTTCTGTACACAGAGTGGTGCTCAAAGTTTTCCTATTATGATTTCTGGGTTAAGGGGGTATGTTCAGTGGGAAGAAACTTAAATATGTAAATATTTCCTATCCCCCCCCCCCAAAAAAAAAAACCTGATCACTGTCCTTGTTTCCCTTGTATGAATAATAATGGTCAGGGCTTGGTTGTGCTAACAGGGCAGTGACAAAGTTGATTCCGCGTAAAGGGCATTTGACCTGGACTGATCACATGCCCTTTATGATCATGCTAGCCGACTGGAACTGTTTGCAAAGACCCCCCCCCCCGCCTGCAGTTTTGTCCTCACTGTTATGTGATAAGAAATGTTGTGATGATGGAAGAGAAGTGTTTGGCAGTGAATAGCTGAACTGTCTTAAAGTCAGAATGAGGCACACATTTCCCCCCTAGCTACTACTGACTGGTCCTCTAGATAGGCAAGGCAGGCAGAAGGATCCAATGCAGGCAAGATCCATTCTGCTAGAAAACACACATCAGAGGAAACATCCTTCTGCCAGAAGAAAGCACCTCCACTAGAAGAGCAGAGGGAAGCTGAAGTACACATCTGTAACAGCTAGAAAAATGTTTGGCTGCAGAACGCGAGGTCACCTTGAATTGATCTAGTGCCTGGTTTGCGCTGATGATAATGGAAAGTATCCGGACTCTCACTTACTTTCTGAACTCTGAGAATAGGGCAGGGAAGTCACAATGGGGACACATAGTCCAGTCGCCTTTCACCATATGCCGTCCCTAGATGAGACAGAGTGATTACACTTGGCTATTTCATAGTGCTCCTAGTTAACACACTACAACATATTCACACCAAATATTTTGTCAGATTGCTGGTTGATGTATACACACCCACCATGAGG